TGGGTGGGCATTACCAAGGGCAGAGCAGAGTTAGCCCCCACTCTATAGTGTGCCTTATTGGACCCTTTAGTTTATCATATGTAAGGGAGTAGCTGCCATTCATTCCGTAAGTGAAGCACTGATCTTTGAAAACACTTGCGCCTTTCCCCCCACCACTTCAGGATAGGAGGTTTAGCCCTCACTACAAGCTTTTTCTTCCATGTCCTGCAGTATATCCCTTTAATCCTCATCCCTGACTGTAGCCAAGTTTTAAATGCATTTGCCCATATCTTCCCTACCTATATTCTCCCACCCCACTCCTTCTGTTTTCCCCATTGTCCCCTTATAAGATGGGCAGGGACTGTATTTTTTTACCTATGAAAGTTTGTAAGGTACCATATATGTAGGTGACACTGAATATATTATAAGTAATAAGCACCCTCTTTTTCCACATGCCCACCTGTCACAATAATGACTGGGGTTTTTTGCTAAAATTTTTATATCAATTAGCACAGGCTTTTTAAAGCAGCTCCTCTTGGACTGCAGGATCAACCAAGTCCTGTGTGGGCTGCTCCATTATATGTCCAGCATGCCTCATACAGCCTAGGCTCTAGAGGCTGAGAAAGCCTGACAGGCTTGAATTATATCATTTAGCTCTCTTTTTTAGTGATATTTGATCTGTAAATGCAGAAAAGCCCTTTCCCTCCTCTTTTGATGTCATTTTGTACCAAGCTGTCAAAATGAATAGATTTTGAGTGCTTTGAGGTGTCACCAGTGCTGTATTGTTCTCTGTTTTCAACATTTGCCAAGCTCCACATTTCTTTGGTTTTGTCATATTGCAAGGAGGGCATCTCCTGATTTATTTTTTTTAAATCCTTCGTCCACTGGTGTTTTGGGCCAGTTTGAGTTTGGTGAGATACTTGCAGTTCCAATACTCATGTGACCTTTCTGATGTGGTGAGGAAGGCTCATGTCTTTGACTATTTTAAATCCAGAATCTGTACTTGCGTGTTTAAGGTGATAACTGGAGTGGAATATCAGAACTGGTACTTGGGAGCTTATCGGAATCCATGTGCCTAAATGCCAGTGGCTGCTGACGTTCTATAGTTTCTTATGTCTGCATAGAATTTAAACTGTTGATTATAGTGAATCCAAAATAGTTGTGCTGGTTCATATCTTCTTGCATGAGCAGCTGTAATGCCCCTGCAAAACCAGCGTTACAATGTGCAGTAAAATGTATAAATAAATGCTTGAAGTTATTCATAGCTGCTTCAGTGGTTTTCTACTGGAAGTGGGACATAAATCTTAATAAATCTGTGCCAAGAGTTCAGTCCCAGTGGAATGTTAGCTTAGCTGTTGCAGAGTGACTTTCTTAAAGTGACCCCACATGTGGAAAACACATCAGAATGGCAGGCTCAAATGATTTATTTTTTTTACCAGGATGATACTGCAAATGAGATCCTAAGTTCCTAATAGATGACAGCTCCAGGGCTTATCCCCAAGAGAAATACAATCTGTAATAATTTTTGGTAACTTACTGTGAATCTGTGCCAAAGGTAGCCAATGTGATAGCTTCTAGATATTGTTGGACTACAACTCTTATCATCCTGGTCCATTGGCTAGTGCTTGTTTTGAGGCTGTACACCACACCACCACCTATTTTCTCCTTGCCTGCTACTGCCGCTTTTTTCATGGCAGCAGGCACAACCTCCTGGAAGTGCTTTGGCACAGTCCTTTAATGATTGCCATAGCACCTTCCAAGCAGGTGCTTGCTGATCGTAAAAAGGTGCGGCAGACCCCAAGGTTTGACGTGACCCTTTTACGATTGTCAAGCACCTTCCTGGAAGACACTTTGGTGATCATAAAAGGGCCACATCGGGAGGCTGTGCCTGCTGCTGCGGAAAATAGTGGCCACAGCAAGCAAGGGTGCAATTGGGAAAGGTGGGGGTGTGTGCGAGCGGGCAAACAGCAGTGGTATGGGATAGAAATAAAGCACTGCCATTGGCCATGCTTGGTCTGCAACAAGATCTATAGGGCAGGGGTCAGCAAACTTTTTCAGCAGGGGGCCGGTCCACTGTCCCTCACACCTTGTGGGGGGCCAGACTATATTTTGGAGGGGGAAAATGAACAAATTCCTATGCCCCACAAATAACCCAGAGATGCATTTTAAATAAAAGGACACATTCTACTCATATAAAAACACGCTGATTCCTGGACTGTGCGCAGGCCGGATTTAGAAGGCGATTGGGCCGGATGTGGCCCCCGGGCCTTAGTTTGCCTACCCATGCTATAGGGCAGGGGTGGCCAACTCCCAAGAGACTGCAGTCTAAGGTACCCCTGCCCGTAAGGGCCAGTCTTGACAGACTCTAGGGTTGTGCGCTCATCTCACTCTAGAGGCCGGGAGCCAGCGCTGTCCGCAGACACTTCCGGGTCACGTGGCCAGCGTGACAAGCTGCTCTGGCGAGCCAGCGAAGCACACGGAAACGCCGTTTACCTTCCCGCTAGTAAGCGGTCCCTATTTATCTACTTGCACCCGGGGGTGCTTTCGAACTGCTAGGTTGGCAGGAGCTGGGACCGAACGACGGGAGCTCACCCCGCCGCGGGGATTCGAACCGCCGACCATACGATCGGCAAGTCCTAGGCGCTGAGGTTTTACCCACAGCGCCACTGTGATCTAGCCCTCTTTTTTTTACCTGTTGGACATGCCTGCTATAGGGCATCATATGGGCAATCCTTTTTATGCCTTTGGGATCACTTTAGAAAGTAATCTGTAGTGCTTAGCATATTGTTAGAATGTAGTCTCTGATTCTTACGTTTGGGACATGCAGCAGGCACCTTATCATAAATACAGATTTATTTGCACAATGTAGTGGTTTTCAAACTGTTCTTCAGGAACATGGGGCGATTCTTTGAGCTTATTGAAGGGGAACCTCCCTGGAGGTTGAAGGCTTTGAATGTATTGTCCTAGTGCGTCACATAATTGTGCTTGAAATGTTAGTCTCGCATACTCTAGTCAAGAAGTCTTCAGTGAGGCAATTCTGAAGAAAACTAGTTGAGAATCACAAGTGGTAAAAATCCCTTACACTGTCAGTTGCGAAGAGCAAAAGCTCTTTATGCATGCGACCTAATGTACTTACGACCTTCTGGATCATGTGCATTAAAAAAACAAATCTTGGGTTGTCTTTTTGGTGCTGAGGTCATCTGACAGTGCTATAGTGCAAGGTGGTGGTGGTTTTCGGCTTTTGAATGCAAAATATGAACAATGCAACTGCAAATTATTACAGATTTTCATGCAAAATTCCCAAATAGATATTTCCCCCCTTTTAGTTGAACTCCTTAACTGATACTGTGGTTGTACTATGTTCTTTTTTTAAAAGAATCTGCCAACACATTTCATGCCACTCTCTGTTTAAAAACAAGTGTATAGTCAACTATTTTTCTAGCATAACACAAGTGCAGCATGTAAAACCATTTGTAATGTTTGTTTTGGAAACCTGATGACAGAAGGAACTGCCATGGACTGCCATATCTGGACTGTAGCAATTATTCTTACTTAGTGAGAGGATTTTCCAGAGCAGACTGTTCTCTCAATATCTACTTAGGCAACAGTGAAAGTGAGACCAAAGCACACAGTCATCTTGACAGTATTTTCTTTTTTTTAATTCCCCTTGGGCTTCCCATTTCACTGAATTCAAGTATCGCTTTTATTCACGCAGCCAACTTTTAAACACTTCCAAAGCAACATAGGATTGGCGTCTCGTGGTTCTGGACTTTTAACTGGCAGACGTACAGGTGAACATGGGAGATGGGGAATGTTTTTTTAAAAGCTGGGGAGTGGGAGAACGCTTAGCTTATAGAGCCAGGGCTCAGTTTTTTTGTCTTTCAAATGCTGAGGCCCCACCAAAAGTGATCTTGCAGTGACGCAAGGCAGATGGTGAGTTTTGAGCACTTTGAAGGGTTTTGGAGTGAAAGACTCCAACCTCATCTGGGGTAGAAAAATAAATCCTTGCTCCCATAAGTTTCAGCGGGGCTTGAACAGGAAGACAGTATCCTTTGAAATGAATAGGCACAGTAGAGCTTTAGCACAGTTCCTGCACCATTTCAGTGGAGAACCTGCTGTTGTCTTCCCAGTATGTTATCCTGTATATTAATTGGTGGAGTGGGGCTAGGCAGATTTTGGATTTTCAGCTTCAAGCAGCCAGACATTTTGAGCCAGCTGGGGCCCCCAGGATCACACATGTTTGTACCCACTGTTAGTCCTGAAAAAAATGGACATTTGACTATCATAGACCCATTAATTTTAGAGGGTCTTCTCTTAGTACAACTTAGATAGAAAATCTGATGCGGTAAAACATGTGGTAAAAAAGATGTAGTAAAACATTTGACCTTCTGGTCAGCTTGAAATGTTTTATGTGGCCGGTTGATATGTTGGATTTTTTTGGGGGGTGGGGTGGGTCTTGGTTGAGACAGTGGGGAGTGCACAGTGTCTTACTTTTCTCAAAGGCTAATGCTTCCATGAGGATAATGTAATTACCTGAAAGCCAGCAAGCCATGGCAGCGTTGAGCCCATTTTTCTTTTCTGCTCTCCCTTGAAGAAAACGCTGAACTGCCTAATTCATGTACAATTATTTTTTAGGTGTGTTCAGTTTTGCAGCTGTGTTCCCCGATGCAATTATACTTGCAAAAGCTGCTGCTTCATTCCATATCTTTCACACCCAACTTGATACTTGGGTTGCTTCAGAATTTTATTCTCTTCACTTTTTAATTTCTGGAGAAGCCAGGTATTGAATCATTATGTTGCTGTTGCTTCCCCTGATTTGATAAACTGAACCTGACAGGTTCCCTAGCTTCTAAGTTAAAGGGGTAAGAGGGTGCCTGGGGTTGGCATATCCCAGCTAATTCTGCCAAATCATGCTAGCCACTGTGATGGCCCCTAGCTCATTCAATCAGTGTACCGTGGATTGACTGAACACAGTGTAACACTTCCTTGTCCATGGATCTCATTCTGTTTCTCCTTCACAGCAAGTCACCCAACGTCCTGCTGCCCCCTTTCAAAGATGGTGAAGCTGGACATTCACACATTGGCCCATCACCTCAAGCAGGAACGGCTCTATGTGAACTCCGAAAAGCAGCTGATTCAGAGATTGAATGCTGAGGTGCTGAAGACTGCTGAAAAGCTGTATCGCACAGCATGGATTTCCAAGCAGCAGAGGATTAACTTGGACCGGCTAATCATAACAAGGTAACTGCTGGTACATACAGAAATAAAAATGCTAATATTTGAAATTGGACAGTGCTTTGTACACTGAAACACTGCAGAAATCACACATTGCAAATGTAAGCTTTATTTTTTTAAAAAAATATTTTATTAAGTTTTAACAATAAGAAAATTCCAAAACAGCAAACAAAGAAGAATAAAAACACAAGAAAAATATAAAACACAACAATACAAAATTACACAATAGAAAAATACAAACATTTAACCTAACAAGGGAAAAAAAGAAGAAAAAGAAAAAGAAAAAAACAAATAAGCGCACAAAAAAGAAAAACACAAATCCCTCTTTTTTTTTTAATTTCTCATCTTTGATTAACTTATTTTCCTGACTTCCTCACGCCTCCCTTTTTTGTATCCCTTTTTGAAAATTGGTTCAGCAAATTCATGTCCTATTACTTTATCCTTAATTGTTTTTCCTCCCGAATTATAATTTCAAATTTTTATCTATTATCAATCCAGTCTTACATTATATCTTGTTGCTAGCACCCCTTCATTTCATTTCAATGTCATCAACATTCATACATTTTACAATGTTTCTGTAAATAAATTTTAAATTTCCTCCAATCTTCTTCCACTGACTCTTCTCCCTGATCTCGGATTCTGCCAGTCATTTCTGCCATTTCCATATAGTCAATTACTTGCATCTGCAAATGTAAGCTTTAAAGCTGCACAGCACCTTTGAGCAAGCATAAAGAAAACATAGCTTTGAGCTGAGTCAAAGGGATGCAATTGGGTGTGTATTTTATAGCCCTCTTGCAACCACTGAGAAGACTTACCTGTGTCTTGAGTTGGTGGCTGTCTCTTCATAGATGGGACTTAGAGAAAATCTCCTAAATATTAAGATCTCAAAGTGTGTGTGTGTGTGTGTGTGTGTGTGTGTGTGTGTGTGAGATATATTCAGCAAAATTAGGATGTTTCTCTTTCCATTGATTTTTTGTGATTTGAGAAATTAAAATTTTGGGTGATCTAAATGGTTTCTATATATATTTATATTTTCCTAGCGCGGAAGCTTCACCTGCTGAATGCTGCCAGCATGCCAAGGTCTTGGAGGATACACTGTTCGTGGATGGGTACAAGCAGTTGGGCTTTCAAGAGACAGCCTATGGAGAATTCCTTAACAGGCTGCGCGAAAACCCTCGCCTTATTGCATCGTGCCTGGTTGCTGGAGAGAAGCTCAACCAGGAGAACACGCAGAGTGTCATTCACACCGTCTTCACCTCCATCTATGGCAACTGCATTATGCCAGAAGACGAAAGCTACCTCCTCCAAGTCTTGCGCTACTTGATTGAATTTGAACTCAAGGAAAGTGATAATCCCAGACGGCTCCTAAGGAGAGGCACCTGTGCATTCAGCATTCTGTTCAAACTCTTTTCTGAGGGGCTCTTTTCAGCCAAGCTCTTCCTCACTGCCACTTTGCACGAGCCCATTATGCAGCTGTTGGTTGAAGATGAAGACCACCTGGAAACTGACCCCAGCAAATTGATTGACCGCTTCTCGCCCACCCAGCAGGAGAAGCTCTTTGGGGAAAAGGGCACTGAAAAGTTCAGGCAGAAAGTTCAGGAGATGGTAGAATCCAACGAGGCCAAGCTGGTGGCCCTGGTGAATAAGTTCATTGGCTACCTCAAGCAGAACACCTACTGCTTCCCACACAGCTTACGGTGGATTGTATCCCAGATGTACAAAACGCTCTCGTGTGTGGACAGGCTTGATGTCGGAGAAGTGAGAGCCATGTGCACGGACCTTCTCTTGACTTGCTTCATTTGTCCTGCCGTGGTCAACCCAGAGCAGTATGGGATTATTTCTGATGCCCCAATCAATGAAGTGGCAAGGTTCAACCTAATGCAGGTATAAGCAGGTCTTCAAAAATATATATTCTCTCTCTCTCTCATAGTGTTGCTGTATTAGTCTGTAGTACCAAGAAGAAAATAGAGAAAGGTGTTGTGTCTAAGAAACAAAGTGTACTTTAAGTTTTTTTTCGGGGGGGGGGGCAGGTTAGGCATTCTTGATCCTCTTTAGCTCAGAAAGCAGACTTGTGGATGAATGTTGTCAAGAGGAATAGTGCAGTAAAAATGCCAGGGTAATCCAGAAACTTTGCCCCCCCCAAAAAACCCCTGTACCAACCTGGTGCTTTTGCAGGTGTTTTGGACTATACCTTCCCTCAGCACAGTTGTGCTGATATAAATTGTAATTTAGAACACCTGTAGGGCACAGGGTTGGGGAAGGCTGCCCTGCATACCTTTTTAATCCATCTTTTACCATTCTTGGTGCTGCGTCCCCCTTTTCTGCCTGCTAGTGGTAAGACCAGTTGTTTGCAGGCAACCTCTTCAGCCTTCCTGTTAGCTGGTGGTTCATAGTTTTCTCTGGCCAAATGTTATTTTGTGAGCTGTTAGCTGGTCTGGACTTTGTCTAGAGGAAAAGCTATGTCAGATGACTTGGAGCCAGAGAAGCAAATGCTACACAAACTTGAGGAAATAACTTTATTTTGCAGTGTAATTCCTTATTTAACAGTCACATTCACATACAACATAAATACAAAAGTATAATACAGAAATAAAACATAAGGCCAAAATCTTGCAATATTTCCAATAAAGTAAAAAGTTTCTTGTACAGTACTTTACTGTACAAGCAGATGGGTTTCTAACTTTTCATGCGAATGGCAAGGCTGGAGGGGAACTCCCACTGCTTAAAGCCACACCAGAAGTGTGAAGAATGGCTGTCCTCATTTGTTGCAAGAATTAATGCTTACAAACCCTTACCCTAGGCCAGGGGTCAGCAAACTTTTCCAGCAGGGGCCAGTTCACTGTCCCTCAGACCTTGTAGGGGGCCGGACTATATTTTAGGGGGCACATTCTACACATTCTACTCATGTAAAAACATGCTGATTCCCAGACCGTCCGCAGGCCAGATTTAGAAGGTGAGTGGGCTGGATCCGGCCCTGAGTCTTAGTTTGCCCACCCATGCCCTAGGCTGTTTTCAGATTCCTACAGTTAGGTTGTTATTCATCAACCCTATATAGACTAGGACAAAAGTAAAATAAAATTTCTAGCTGCCATTATAATTTTTTGGGAGGGACCCAGGCGCTTGGAGTGGCCTTTCCAGCCCTGCTTATATTGCAGATAGCTCAACTGTCATAGTGTGCGTCTTTCTTCTTTGCTTAAAAGAACTGGGACAGCATCCAAGTTGCTTAATTTTATTTCCAGTTGTGCTACCAGAGTATTTTTCATTTGTTCAGATAAGGTGATGTTGACTGTTATTTCTCCCAGCGCTACCTACCCCTGAGCAATTGAGCTCAAATAACCACTTTATTGTAAAAAGGTTGAATTTTTAAGAGGGATGTGGTTTTACAGTATCCATTACAAGGAAAGTGTGTATATACGGTAGAAGTGATAGGTCTGTGTTTAAAAGACAATATAACACTAGATCTTTACAAGGAGGATACTTTTAAATACACGATTGAGCACTGAAAAGCATTTGCTGTTTTGATGTTATTGTAAGCTAGGAGAGAACAACTTCATCGTACCCTTTGGGCAAAATCAAGAGATCCACCAATAGCCCTGCTACTTGGACTACCCTTTGCTACCAACAAAATTTACATTTTCTGGGTTGTTTCTTGCCTTCCAAGGACTGTTAGTGTGCCAGTCTAATTTGTGCCATGCTGACCAGCTTTAAATTGCTGGTGTTCATACAGCACCATCAATGTAGACCACACTTTGTGGAGAGTTCCTTGGACAGCATAGATCTGTGCTCCCAAGGAACAAGGTGGAAATGAGAGACAGAGTGGAGCTGTGAAGGGGAAAGTTACAAGTGCCTAAAGCTTTGTTACAGTTCTGAATGATAAGAGGGAGAGGTGGTGTATGTTATACGTTTAGAGTTGTAGTTCTAGGCATGTGAAGACTGGGCACAATTGAAAGACACACACAATTGAAAGATACTTTTGCATTACCCATCCTGCTTTTGTGGGGGAGGGAATTAGCATGGGTGTTGCAATGTAGAATGCATGAAGGCGTAAGATCAGATTTTGGTGGTCAGGTGTTGTCTAGTATTCAGAGAAGAGCAGGAATGGAAGGAGGAGGGACTTGTGTACAGAGCGATGCCAACCTGCTGTAGCTGGCCCACTAGTTTCTAAGCATTCATTAGATAAGCAGTCTGATCCCTGCAGCTGTCAGAGGCCTGTCCTTTATTTTTGGAATAGCTGGATGCCCATTGGTATAACTGTGTGTGTGTGTGTGTGTGTGTGTGTGTGTGTGTGTTTTCTTCTCCCCCCACCAAGAATTTCTTGCTTCTTTACTCATGTAAAGGGCTGCAGCTGAAAAATGAATTGTGGTACAATCTTTACAGCTGCTTCAATTACAGCCTTCTGCCTTGTACTGTAGAATTCAATGCCTCCTGTAGGCACACAAATGGACACTTTTTGATATTGACCTGTTATCTTCCTGCTCCTGCAAGGTCCTTGTCATACTAGGTTTCCTGTCTGTGAATGCCCTCTGCAGGAGAAGCTGACACCCTGCAGTTCAGCAAGACGCAAAAGACAAACTGGGATTTTGTGTGTTTATATAAACATGTTTGGGACGCGGGTGGCGCTGTGGGTAAAAGCCTCAGCGCCTAGGGCTTGCCGATCAAAAGGTCGGCGGTTCGAATCCCCGCGGCGGGGTGCGCTCCCGTTGCTCAGTCCCAGCGCCTGCCAACCTAGCAGTTCGAAAGCACCCCTGGGTGCAAGTAGATAAATAGGGACCGCTTACTGGCGGGAAGGTAAACGGCGTTTCCGTGTGCTGCGCTGGCTCGCCAGATGCAGCTTTGTCACGCTGGCCACGTGACCCGGAAGTGTCTGCGGACAGCGCTAGCCCCCAGCCTCTTGAGTGAGATGGGCGCACAACCCTAGAGTCTGTCAAGACTGGCCCGTACGGGCAGGGGTACCTTTACCTTTTTATAAACATGTTTATGGGTTCAGTGCAGGTTGGTGGATAGATGCTTGGTTGGTTTTGATGGACTTTTGGTTCATCCCAACTCTAGATGATAAAAGCTGAGATTCTCATGGATGTCATATTTATTGCCAGATGATTATTCCGTGTTTATGTGAAAACCATCTTTTGGCACCTGTTAAGTATGGATGGAAATAGAATGAGCAAGTTTAATTTAGGCTGGGAACTGTGGCTTAGCAGATAAATTAGTTTGCAAACATTCCAGCTTCCCACAACTGTTCTTGCCACTGAGGACTCAGCTATACAGCTGCAAATAAAATGTTTTAAGTGGAATATACAGTGTGACACTAGATGGTGATGGTGAGCTTTATGGGAAATTCAATGTATTTTTAAAAACACTTTTTAAAAAAGCATTTTCAGAACAGTTTTTATATGTGTGAAGGTTCCACCTGAGATGAAGCAAAGCTGATAAAAGGTAGCCAAAGTTTTTGTAAGGGAAATTGAAGTTCTGTATAGGCATTTTGCTGTGGAACTTTTCCATGTAATTGTTTTTAATTTTTGGAAAGAAAATACGGTTGTAATGTCTCAGACTTTGTGCAAGCTGAGTATGAATAGTTATTTTTCATCCAGTTTCAACTTAGAGGGTGGAGGCGGCTTTCTTTCTTTGTGGTACTTTGCAGTCCTGTCTTTAACTTGTTTCTCATTGTTAGGTTGGGAGACTTTTGCAGCAGCTGGCCATGACCAGTTCTGAAGAAGGAGACCCCCGTACAAAGAGTTACCTGGGTAAATTCGACAAAGTAAGAGCCAAAGCTATTGAACTTGTATATCTGTGCATGCCAATGTTTTTCTCATTCTGTATAATTTTGGAAAAGGCACCTGCAAATAGACTTTTGTTATGACTGTGAAGAGGTTCAAGTGAGCAAATTGCAACCTTAAGAGGAAGTAGCAAATGGCACTTCCCCTTAATAGAATCTGTAGTGTGCAAAAGCCACTATTAAATGTAAATGAGTTTCAAGGAACCTGTATGAAGAAGTGTGCTTTGGCATATATTGGTGGCTTTTTTTTCTTAACTATTAAAAACGTAGACCTGCTTCTATTCTTGCTGCATGTTTAAAATAATAATACTGTATAACAATTTCAATTCTTACCTGCCTTTCACCATAAGTGAAGAACCAGTGTAGTGTAGGGATCAAGAGTGTTGGACTAGGACCTGGGAGACCTGGGTTAAAATTCCCACAGAGCCATGTAGCTGACTGGGTGTGATCTTGGGCCAGTCACTACATCTCAGCCCAACCTACATTTCTGGGTTGCTTTGGGGATTAAATGTGGAGATGTAGAACTATGTATGCCACCTTAAGTTCCTTGGAGGAAAAGGTGGGATATAATGAAATAAATAAAACAATAAAATAAAGATCCCAGCGTGGGTTACAGTAATTTAAAATACAATAGTAAAATCTGTGTGTGTATCTCTATATATCGTCTACCCACTTTGTAGGGGTGTACAGGTCTCTTGTTGAAGTGCTTGTATTGAAACAGCTCCCTTGTCCGTCCACCCCCTCCTCCAATTTTTTCCTTGCAGGGTTGTGTGGCTGCCTTCTTGGACGTTGTCATTGGCGGACGGGCAGTAGAGACTCCACCCATGTCCTCGGTGAACCTTTTGGAAGGGCTGAGTAGAACTGTGGTTTACATGACCCATAGCCAGCTCACTGGCCTGGTAAATATCCAACTCCTTTTGGGCTGCAGGAGGAGACAAGTCAGTGCTGGGGGTCTGCTTTGCTGCCTTCTTTTAACATCGAACACTTTTTTTAGGTCAGCTTTATGCGGAACGTCATGTCGGGCGACCAGCTGAAGGAGGACCGCATGGCTCTGGAAAACCTGCTGTTAAACTTGCCCCAGAACAAGCCAGGGAAAAGCAGCAGCCTGGAGATGACCCCATACAACACCCCACAGCTTTCCCCTGCCACCACACCAGCAAACAAGAAAAACCGGCTGCCTATAGGTGAGGAAGGTCAAGGGTCAGGCTTTTGCATGATAGCTTTTCCCAGCTCTGCTTTCGGACGCTTTCCTCTGCCTTTTTTGCTTTAGGACAGTGGAGTCCCCTTGACTAGTGTCAGTCACTTGGGTTTTAAGATACAGTGGTACCTCAGGTTACGAACTTAATTTGTTCCAGAGGTCTGTTCTTAACCTGAAACTGTTCTTATCTTGAGGCGCACTTTCGCTAATGGGGCCTCCCGCTGCTGCTGCGCCGTGATTTCTGTTCTCATCCTGGGGCAAGTTCTCAACCCAAGGTACTACTTTCGGGTTAGTGGAGTTTGTAACCCAAAGTGTTTGTAACCTGAGGTACCACTGTATACACCGACCTTTTCCAACCCAGAGCCCTCCTGATGTGTTGAACTATAACACCCTTCTTCCCTGACCAATAGGATTTATTTCATAGTTTTTTTAAAATTCATTTATCCAATCCTTTCTTAGTATACCCAATCCAAATAGCTTTATTGTACTTGCCATTGGCCATGACAAATCTGAATCAGAAATAAATACAAGCAAAAGGGATGCTGTGCCACAAATAAATCTCTATTTAATTGATCTCTATTTAGATCTCTTCATCTCTCTTACAGTTCACTGCTATATTGTCCAGGGTCTTCTTTCTGATCTTTTTGGCCGCCAAAGCAAAAAGGGCAAAATCCATTTATGAATTCCTTCACACAAAATATCTCAGTGATGTCAGCAATGAAAATAATTTTAAGAAAAAAATCTGTATATAACACAAGACCCACATGTTGACAAAATTAAAATTATTGTTATTCATTATATTGATTATCAACTTTCTTCAAAAAACTGAGTTCAAAGCAACCTACAAAAGCAAATGTTAGAAGTAGATATAAAACATGAATAAAAGGCAGCCTATAATTCAATAATATGTATTCAGGAGCAAATCCAGCATAGCCCCACTAAAAATATATATGCAGAGAATTAAACTCCAAAGACCTGGGTGAATAACAATGTTTTAACTGGGCACCAAAGAACTATTTCATATGTAAAATACCCATTTTCAAATCTAATAGGGATACAGACTGGGGTAAAGATCCACCTAAAATACTTGTTGAAAAAGGGAGGCCTTCAATTAATGCCAACAAGACAAACAGGGTGATACCTTTCTTTAGTGTAAGAGAATTGCACTGTCGGGGGCTGATGGGAATTGTAGCCTAAAACATCTGGAGGAAAGCAGGTTGTGGAAGGCTTGTATATGTACCTGTTTCGTTCCAAAGCCTAAGCAGCAAATGCACATTATCCCACTCTCTATTCCTGTTGATTTGCTTACTTAAAAAATGCCTTTCTTCAGCTCATTGATGGCACAGCCTGTCATAGTAAGTGACCCATTTTTAAATAGGAAATGAAGCATTTTTTGTGGTGGGCTGCTATTGTTCCTGCTATACGTTCAGGGCTGTGTACATTGTGCAGTTGACAGGAGGGTAGCGGTAAAGTTCAGAAATGCTTACATGCACAACTTTTACATGATTTATTCCATTGCTGTAAGTTGAGTTACTTTTGTACAAAAAACAACTTATAACTTTAAATAATAATAGTCAAGGAGAAGAGCAAATAACTAAAAGGGGAACTGGATTCCACTTGTTATGTCTGCTAGACATTTAGCATCTCTTTTGGCTTCTGAGATCTCTTCAGACATGTTTGCAAGTATGTCTTCACAATCAGGAAGTATAGTAACTTTCCCTAAAAATATCTCTGTATATCCTCAATACGACGATTTCTGCTCCCAGTATTGCATTCTTTGGATTTTCTGCATCCATGCCAAATTGCAGTTGACACACAGCCTTACACAAAGCTGCACTTGAATTGTTGTAAAACCAGAGCCTCAGTCTCAAATAATTATTGACTCCTCCACCTCACTCCAAATGAGGCATTTGTATTATGTGCTTATTTTACAACTGAACCATGTTTTATCTCCTCCCAACGGTTTGACCTGTGTTTCTTTTTTAATGCTGTCCACTCAGGACAACAGTTGGCAGCCATCACTGCCTGGGATACGTCTGCCACCAACCTGACAGCTCACATAAACCTTGTAACCCCATTTGGTGGGTAACTGAATCCTTCCTCTTTCTCAGTGTTTCTGCAAAGCCATGCTGTTGCCTTGCACGTCTGTGTCCACACCAGCTGCTTTTTTAAAAAGAAAGGCATCTTCCTTTTGTTCTGTTCAGAAGCTTGCTTTCTATTTTTAAAGCTTTTTATATCTAGAAAAGGTGTTGGAAAGTTTGGGTCAGACTTTGTGCATGAATGAAACTCTGACTTAGGATCCTGACTTTTAAGATTTGTGCAAGGGGGCGGTGGAAAGGAGTCCGCTGGTTCTGAATATTGGGTCAGAATCCTGCATGGACCTTTTGTGGTGGTAATTATATTATATGCTTTGATAGTCTACATGTGAAGAGATGTAAAAATAATGTGTCAAAAATGTTTGTGCAGTGTTCAAATAGTTTGCTAGAGAATAGGCACCCTGTTCTTCTCGCTGAATTAGGCATCCACCTCTGATAATGGAGACATGCTTTCCCTCTGAGAACATGGCTTAATTTCTAGGCATTTAGGTCCCCCAGTGGCAGCTGATCAAGTGAAGCTGCCTCAAACATCACAGTTGTGTGTATATTGAAGAAACCCACCACACCTTAAACCTTTGTCCACAACCCAAAGAAGAGTTCACACACTCCCTGGGCTGTTGAATTCTTGTGGTCTATCATCCTCATAATTTTCCAAGACCAACATACCTGGTGACAACCTTCTTTCATGTAAACTACATTTATGCCTAGCTGGTTTTGAATCATCATATGCATTTTTTCCTTTTAAGTCTTTCTAAATAACAGCAACCTATTCTCTAGATGCCTTTCTTCTATTATTATTATTATTTTATTTTATTTTATTATTAAAAAATGTATTATCCTCAGCTTTCAAAAACATCCTCAAGGCAGAGTGCTTTGACAAAAATGGCTTAACTTCTCAGTTGTGATGACCAGCTACCCTTTGGGATAGTTTATGCATCTGGCAAATTCAAGTGTTAATGTTGCAGATGGAATGGGGTGGTGTTTTTTCTTCATATTTACCGGTACATGTCACCCTGTAAAAAAAAACCCAAACGCCCTGTACCTTGAAAATTGGCATGTGAGGTGGAAGAGTTGAGTCTAACCTTGCAGATGTATTATCTTTCTACAGATAGACTTAAAAAAAACCTGGGGAATGTTCAAACATATAACTCTCTTGCTGCGTGAAATGGTTCCGTTCAAGCAAAAAGAATACCACTTACTTTTGCTGGTCTGTGTAACCTTGCCATCTTGCAAGAATTAGAGAGTCATCCTTGTCTGGAACGGAACTCCAGCAGGGATGTAGACTTGAAATTCCATCATGTATTTTGTTCTGTGTTGTGTATGTAGAAGTCTGTCTTAATGTAGTAAAAGTTTTGAAAGTTTCTGTTTGAAGCATTTTATGCTTTATTCCAATGTTATGCATTTTATTTTTTGAAAAGAGCTTGATTTTTTTTTTTTGGACGGGGGCAGAGGAAACGTAAGATTTTTCTGCACCCCCCCCCCCCCGGTTTATGCTTGGCTGTTTGGGACTCTTTCTGGTGCTATGTCTGCATTTAGATATTACCCAAGATACGGGGCCCTCATTCTTGGTAATACTGTGGTTTTTGGCATGGAGTTCTTTGAGCAGCTGTCTAAATAGCAGGATCTGAATGCTGCCAGTGTGACTTTTTCCCCTTGCTGTGAGAGGAAGGCCTTTTCCTTTCTCATACATTTGCTTCAAGTTGTGAAGAGACACTGGCTATTTCATTACTTGTATCTAGGAACTAATTATCTCTCATTGAGGTAACTCCATTAAAGATATTTAACCCTCCCATTTTTATGGGGGATCCTGACTATTTTCTCCCTGCCAGCAGTCCAAACACTGGGGGGATATTTCTTCTTTAACCACTGCAAGGCAGCTATTTTTCCACTAAACTGCTGCCCTCTGGACATTTTACCAGAGATTGTGTTGCATTAGGGCAGAGGAGATGTAACGACAGACACTTCGTCTTTCCTGAGAATAAAGCATGAACAAAAACCAGGGAAGTAGGAGTAACTGAATTCCTACTTATGCCTCCCTAGTGATTTTACAAAAGGGAGTAGTAAACATGGCAAGAAGAGCTTTGTTCCCCCTTTGGATGGTTGGAGAAGATGCCCCTGTGCCTTGAGTAATTACACAGAAGCAGGGGTTTGGGCAGGGATTTTTCCTCTTGCTCCCTGCAGCGCTGAGATGTGGCAAAACCCACCTGCCAGTAAAGCATCTTCTGCACAATTAATGTATAAAGCTTCTGTCCACAGGACTGTTGGAAGATCTATGAGACATATAAACTACTGTGGTTAATGCCTGGTAGCCAGAGGGCAGGTGTACATGTAAGGTTTTCCTTCACCCTTCCTGAAGGCTCATAGTGTGCTGGCTTGATGCTTGCAAGGCAACCCTCCCTTGCACATACTTTTCTTAACAGCTGGAGGGTGGCATCATATAGCACCACTTCGTGCCCCTCTTTCAAAGCCATTTTTGCCTTTTGCTCAGCATGCTTGTATTAAGCATCACCCTATTGTATGGATCTTGCATTTTTGCCAGTCAAAAATCCTTTATAAAACAACCCCCCTAAAATGTTCCAGCTACTCGAAGCCGGAGCCGATCGAATATGCAAGTGGACCAGCATGCAGACCATGATGGATTCTCCCAGGAGACGATACAAGAAGTTCAACCAGAAGAAGTATTGGTTATTTCTCTCGGGACTGGGCCCCAAATAACTCCAGGAATGATGTCAGAAAATGAGGTATTGACCCAGCGAGGCTTTGAGATCTGTGTAGGTGGAAGTAGGTGCTGTGGAACTATGAAAACATTAACTGTTGTTTTCCAACAGCAAACAAGTATCTGTCCCTCCTTGATCCAGCTTTCAGCAAACATGAAGTAGTACTTCCTTCACATATGGGTTTGGCTAACTGCAGTTAGTATATATTGTCTGGACCCACAAACCATGGTCAGCATTAACAATGTTTAGTTTAAGCAAGCCAGTTTCAGAAATTGCACTTTGAAGTTGACTTTTTTTTTTAAAAAAAGTTCATAATAACTTGTTATTTGAACCCAAAATAAGTTTTGGGTTAAACACAACAAGCTGTGGATAACCAGAAGCAAAAGCTTATGAGCTCCTTCCTTCAGCCACATGAGAGTGCTCATTCATGTCACAGTAAACCAAGATTTCATGTAACATCTGAACAGTTGTTGGATGTGGGCTTTCTGGGTGAGGTGCCTATCACTTCTATATTCAGGACAATAAATGTTAAGACAGACGCATGGCAACTTGATAATTCACCTCCTCATCTCCCCGCCCCCGATGTGAAGGTGAAGAAGATGTAATGGATCCTGTGATGTAAATGTTAGATTTATTATGGGCTTCACAAGCACTTGGCAAAAACAATGATAGCTCTGTATTTGCCATATTTAGTCAATATATATCCATTATTTCTTAAATATAGATAGTTTAATTTAGTATGTGATTTCTGCTATTTTCTAATGACTCCAAACAAATTGGAGAAGCAGTTCTGATACCAAATCGCTACACTCCAAAAGTTTGATGGCACTAGAAGCCAGAGAGACTCTAAGTTAAAAATTCTGGCTTAAAGGTATTTGGCAAACAATAATTCTTTATTGACTGTCAATCCATGACCAAAATGCTGATCACCCCCCCCCTTTTCCTAGGTTTTAAACATGCAGCTTGCTGACGGAGGGCAAGGAGATGTCCCTGTTGATGAAACCAAACTCCACGGTAAACCTGATAAAACCTTGCGCTTTTCCCTCTGCAGTGATAATCTGGAAGGAATATCTGAAGGTGATGGCCTCTTGTCTGTCAGGCAATATTTAATAGGAGCTTCTGTTCATTGTAGCTGGTGTGTGCTTTGTATCTCAGCCACTGTTGTAAATGCTGTGATAGCTGCTCATTCCATTGGCCAATAATGTTTTGGTGGTTTTTTTTTATATAACTTTTTGGTGCAGTTTTCTTTTTGATCACCTTGTCTAATGATTTCTGTTTGGTTCCTGGTTGCATTTAGCTGGGTGTATATTTCTTCTTACTGGGTGCGGGGAGATCAGGCTAAATAGCATCATCTCCTTCCAACAGGCCCTTCAAATCGATCCAATTCTGTGTCATCGTTGGACTTGGAGGGGGAATCTGTGTCCGAACTTGGTGCAGGCGGCCCATCAGGGAGCAATGGGGTGGAAGCCCTGCAACTGCTGGAGCATGAGCAAGGTTAGTGCTGACAATGAACACAGCCCAAGGGGTAGCTTGCAGATGCTGAACTCACTGCCTTTTTTGGTTTATGCCTATTTAGTTAGTTTAGAAGATTTTTTAATCCCACTCTTCTCTCTCTCTCTCTCTCTCTCTCTCTCTCTCTCTCTCACACACACACACACACACACACACACACACGTCTTACAAACGCCAGTGGCAAAAAAGTGACTTGCTAATACCAGTGAACAGTCCCTGCTCTCAAATTTATTAAAGTCAAACCTTGGTTTTCAAACGTCTCGGCTGCTGAACGTCTCGGCTGCCAGGCGCCGAAAACCCGGAAGTGAATGCTTCCATTTTTGAACGCACCTCGGAAGTCGAATGGCTTCCGAGGCACATTTCTCAATTTTCCCCGTTGAACTTGCTGACAGCCCTTTGATCCTCGGTTTTTGAACATTTTGGAAGTCGAGCGGAACGGATTACATTCAAAAACCGAGGTTCCACTGTGTCTAAAAAGACACAGTGCAAAATAAAAGCGGGTGGGTATGCATTAGGAAAATAAGCAAACTTGGAACCTATTCCCGTTTTTACTCTATAAGAAGCCTAGGGCAGTGTACATTGTCCTCCTCCCCACCCCCCAAGTTGCAGGTCATGATTAAAGAGGAAAACTTGAAGCACAGTTTCAGTATTTGGACAACCTGCACTGAACTGAAAAGCCCAGGAAGTAAAGCAGGTGGAAGCTTGTCTTCTGGAGACTGCATGGTTGCAGAAACCATATTCTGACATGCAGACCAGTCACGTGTGTGTGCTTACTTCATGTTTGTAAACAGAGTGTGCTACTTGTGCCGTTCCTAATACCTTGGGAGCTAATGGTTTTGATGCATGCCATGGATGGAAGCCTAGAGTTGGCTGCTTCAACTGTGGTCTACTCAAGTGTGGTGAAAGATGGTTTAGATGCTAAAATGGGTTGTCTCCAACCAAGTTCTATTTGAGCCTAGACCCATTGAAATTGATGTTCCTAAGTGAGCTGTGTACATTAATTTCAGTGTGTCTAACTTTGAGTAACAGCAGCACTGGGTACAACCCACTTTCTCTGGATTTCTTCTTTACCTATGCATTGTCCTTCTCTTTCCAGAGGTGATCAAATACACAGAAGGACATTGATCTTGTATCTGTAACAGTTGAGTGGAAGGGGGAATTCTGGTAGATGATTTCCCCCCTCATCCCTGTTTGATAAGCTATGCCTGCCAAAATTCCTGCTTCTGTTAAAGGTTCAATAAGCCTTCTGTCTTCTTTTTATGTGGTCATCCTGCCTCATGTTTACCTCAGTTCCCCACCTTTAAAAACACAAGCTATGAAATAATTGTGTAGGGATGCAGAGTGTTTTAACCAAACTCTGATCTTTTTACAATAGCAACCACTCAGGATAACCTTGATGATAAGCTCCGTAAATTTGAGATCCGTGACATGATGGGGTTAACAGATGACAGGGATATCTCTGAGACTGTGAGCGAGACCTGGAGCACTGATGTTCTGGGGAGCGACTTCGATCCAAATATTGACGAGGACCGCTTGCAGGAAATTGCAGGTAACTGGTCTGCTGTTTGATGCAAGAAAAACACTGGTCCTTCTGCAAAGCAGTGAGGTGCCTGCACTCTGTATTTGGATGTGTGTTTTGAAGCAGGTACCCAAAAAGAGCGCACTGCACAATTGTTGCCATGCTTTAAGGTTGAAACTATACATTTAATTAAGTCAGGAAATATCTTGCAACTGTTCAAAGTTAGGAAACACCTTTTAACAAATCATGATCAGCAGGTTGAGAACAAATCTTGGCTACAGATCATGGCTTCTGGGGAGCAATGCAAAACTATGATCTTGTCCAGATATAACATCAGTTTACGGGTTGCACTTTCTTTCCTCCCAGCGCTAGCAGGGAGGAGCAGAGGAGGTCATTTAAAGCATATTCATGCAATTTACAGACTGGGTTAAAGGATTCTCTGCATGGAGTGCTTTACCACAGTTCCCCAGAAGGTTGTTTTGCCTTGCAGTGCTAAATGTAGGATGCATGGTCTTGACAGCACTTGATATAGTAACATGGTTACAGCTACTCAGGTTTAGACAGGATTTGCTTGGATGGAAGAACCAATAGAGGGCTGCATAGACATTTCCCTTAGCATTCTATAGGAAGAGCAGGGTGTAAGTGTAATAAGCAGGAGCTCATTGTATGGTTGCTTCCATTGCCAGTGTCCCACTTCCACCCCACAGATGTGGGAAGGAACCATGCAATTTGAGTAATACATGAAATCGGGGTAACTCATGTGGACATCCAGTAAAGGTGAATGTTGAAGAATCAGGACGGATAAAAGAAAGTATTTTCTCATGCACTGCAGAGTTAAACTTTGGAACTAATTCTCACAGAAGCAGTGAAGGCCACCAACTTGGATGACATTAAAGAGGATTAGACAAATCCATGGAGGAGAGGGCTGCTAGCCATGATGGCTTTATTCTGCCTCCACAGTTGGAGACAGTAATCCTTCTGAATTCCAGTTAGCTGGAAACATCAAGAGGGGAGAGCGCTCTTGTTCTTGGATCCTCCTTGCAAATTTCCGACAGGCTTGCCACTGAGACAGGAATGCTGTGCTAGATGGGCCATTTGCCTGATCGAGCAGGGCACTTCTTAGATTGCAAGCTTCTCATGGGTGGTGGCCCATGTTGTTTAGTGAGAATAAAGGTAAAGGGACCCCTGACCATTAGGTCCAGTTGTGACTGACTCTGGGGTTGCGGTGCTCATCTTGCTTTATTGGCCGAGGGAGTCGGCGTACAGTTTCTGGGTCATGTGGCCAGCATGACTAAGCTGCTTCTGGCAAACCAGAGCAGTGCACGGAAATGCCGTTTACCTTCCCGCCGGAGAGGTATCTATTTATCTACTTGCACTTTGACGTGCTTCCGAACTGCTAGGTTGGCAGGAGTAGGGACCAAGCAACGGGAGCTCACCCCATCGCGGGGATTCGAACCGCCGACCTTCTGATCAGCAAGTCCTAAGCTCTGTGGTTTAACCCACAGCACCACCTGCGTCCCCTTAGTGAGAATAGGGGCAACTTAATGTTTTCCAGGTGGATAAGGTTTTTGCCTCTTGCACATTAGCTACTGGACAGCCAGAAAATGGATCCTTTCAGAGCTAACATGAGGGATAAAGGGTAGATGTAATTGCCTTTGGGTACCTCCCTGCCATTAACAAATTGTGGGTTGCTTCCTCAGGTGCCGCAGCTGAGAATATGCTGGGAAGCTTGCTGTGTTTGCCTGGTTCAGGATCGGTGCTTTTTGACCCCTGCACAGGCTCAACCATCTCGGAAACCACCAGTGAAGCTTGGAGCGTTGAAGTGCTACCAAGTGATTCAGGTTAGACTCCTCAGCTTTAAAGATAACTGATCTGTCTGTATGTCCCACACAAGCAGGGTTGTAATTATGAAGGAATGCTACCTTCTGGTTTCTTTGGTTAAGGAAACTTAACTTCATTTCCATATTGAACTTCCTATCTCTGTTGAACTTCTTAAGGTTAAGGTAAAGGTAAAGGTACCCCTGCCCGTACGGGCCAGTCTTGACAGACTCTAGGGTTGTGCGCCCATCTCACTCTAGAGGCCGGGGGCCAGCGCTGTCCGGAGACACTTCCGGGTCACGTGGCCAGCGTGACATCGCTGCTCTGGCGAGCCAGAGCCGCACACGGAAACGCTGTTTACCTTCCCGCTAGTAAGCGGTCCCTATTTATCTACTTGCACCCGGGGGTGCTTTCGAACTGCTAGGTTGGCAGGCGCTGGGACCGAACAACGGGAGCGCACCCCGCCGCGGGGATTCGAACCGCCGACCTTTCGATCGGCAAGCCCTAGGTGCTGAGGCTTTTACCCACAGCGCCACCCGCGTCCCTACTTCTTACTGGAGACTTAAAAAAAAATCAGCAGGCTTTTAAATTGATTTTATAGTTTTAACGCATTTTTAGTCTTATTGTGGGTCTCCTGTACACTGCTTGGGGACAACTGTGCCAAAACAGTATACAAAATAAAATAAATAATCCTTCCCTACCTTCCAATCCCTTTCATATCTGGCAGAATCTCTGGATTCTGTCCAGCTGAGTTCTACCTAGAGTAGACCCATAGAGATTAACAAAGCTAAGATGGTCACACCCAGCTGTTTCAATGGGTCTACTCTGTGTAGGAATAATGTTGGACACGGTTCCTTGTCATTAACTTTAAATGCTCTCCGTGACGTTTCTCCATCTCTTCTAGGCCCTTGTTTCCAATTATATTCTTGCCCATGGCCTCTGTTCCTTCGACTCTTACCACCCTCAGCTGCTGGAGGTCTTTTGCTTCCTTAAACATTTCTGTGCTCTCTCCTTTGTGCCTGGAACTCTTTCCCAGAGGTGGATACAGAACCGTTTCTCCTTGTCTTCATTCCTTTAAACCTACTTTAATTAATTTAAACCTTAAGCTTCAAGGGTGGCGGCACCTGTGCTTTGGAATTCCCTCCCATGCACGTTAGGCAGGCATACCTTCATTGTACTGTTTTCGGTGCCTGCTAAAACCTTTTTTGTTCCAGCAATCCTGCCCAGGCACGTGATTTTAGTAGGTATGCTTCAAAATTACTGATTTTTTATTGAATTTTTTTTTATTTATGTAGCCTGTTGATATTTGCTTTTATTGATATTTTAAATTAACACTTGAGACTGTCATGTACTCTGCTTAGAGGTCCATTGTTCTAGTAAGGAGGATTATAAATTTTGTTAAATAAAATAAGCATATGGAGCTGCAGGTGCCTCTATCCATCTTCAACCTCTCTCTCCACCCCTATTAGATCTGTAAGCTCTTTCCGGGCCAGGGACCTGTCTGCTGCCTATGAAATTCTGTAATGTGCTTTTTGCTGAGGGTGCTATATTAATAAATATTATACAGCTAATTTATTAATCTTCTACTAAAACACTGTCCAAAGGTGATTTACACACAACACAAAAAACACAAATACATTTAAAACAAGGCTAAAACCATGACAAGTGGACACTCATAGTAAACAATCATTTATTCACCTGGGGAAGCCCATCAGAACAAAAATAACTTGCGTTATTTCCAGAAAGGGCAGAATGTGGGTGCTTTTTATTCCACGGAATGGGGCAGCCACACTAAATGCCCTGCTCTGCGTTACTGTGGAGTGAGCTTTTGAGACCTTTGTAACTTGCAGGAGAGATTCTCCTGCGGACTTCAGTGGTCTGCGGGTGTATAAGGGATAAGGCAGTGTTTTAAGTAACCTGGTCTCAAGCTGTATAGGGATGGATGTGTTAGTACCAACGCCTGAACTTGGCCTAGTAGCAAATAGACAGCCAGTACAAATCCCACAAGCAAGGTATTATATACTTGCTGATAGTTTGCCCCCACAAACACACTAGCTTCCTTGTTTTGCATTGGCTATAGCCTCCAAATCAACCCCAAGGGGTAGCCACAAAGAGAGTACATATTAGTGCTTCAACCGTGAGGTTACCAATGTATGGACAACTGTAGTCAACTAGTACAAGTAGTGCCTTTTCTCAACAGTTAACTCACCCATGCACACGCTTTCTTTTTCTTTATGGTGGAGGAAGATACCGTTTGTTGGGTTGCTCCTCTCCAGACAGTGGGGCCATTCAAATGAGGCAACCTAGAAGCCTCCCATGGGAGAGTAGCCTCCCCTGGTCTTCCATTCTGCCTACTCACCCATGCAAATGTTTCCTTAATTCTCTACACAAACCTTGTATTCTGGGGCCATGGATCGATCCCAAACTATTTTCCTTATGGACCACTTGAAAACTGCTGAGAGTCTTAGTGATTTTTCTTGTTGATTTTTATTCCTGTTGTAGTGATTATAATGCACTATGGTAGATGCCACATGATTTTTTTTAAGTGCATTTGTATTGCTTCTTTTGTTCTTACGTATTTTGAATTCCATAGAATCAAATTGTCATACAGTAAAAGACCAATACAGAAGAAATAAAAGTAGCAATAAACATACTGTTAAAAATCTGTATGAATATTTAATGTAGACATGCTATGGACCACCTAAATGAAGCTTGTGGACCACTGGTGATGCACATACCAAAATTTGGGGATCCTTGCTCCAGGGAATTCTGAGGTTCTTTACTTAGGAGATTTTCCACAAAGGGGAGATTATTAACATCAGGGGAGCTTCTCTGAAAGGCAGCTTGCCTGCTACTTAGATCTCCAACATGCAGCTGCAAGGAAGGGTGATGAGTACATTTTGGGGCAGCCCTTCCCCAAGCTGATGCTCTCCAGATGTTGTTAGATACCCTGGACTCTTGACTATGCTGTTTGGAGCTGATGCCCCAAAACACCCGGAGGGCCACAAATTCACCTTCCCTGTTCTAGGGGGTTCATGTGGGGTGATAATAAGGCCAAGAGATCCAGGTCAATGTACCATGTGAATTGAACATGACTCTGTGGCATCTGCACTGGGGTTCCAATGTTTGGGAAGCGTTCACGGAAGGTAGGAAATTTGTGAAAACTGGATGTAAAATTACAAGACTACTGTATCTAGAAGGTGACCTGTGTGTTGTATTTCTCCCCACCCACAATTTAGAGGCCCCAGATCTAAAGCAAGAGGAGAGGCTGCAGGAGCTTGAGAGCTGCTCTGGGGTGGGGAGCACCTCTGATGACACAGATGTGAGGGAGGTCAGTTCCCGCCCCAGCACACCAGGCCTCAGTGTCGTATCAGGTGAGACCTCAGAAAACAATACATTATGTGAACAGTTGAAGCTGTGCTATGTCTAATAAGACTGCTTGTCCGTCTAGCCTGGTATTGTCTATCCTGAATGGCAGCAGCAGTCCAAGATCTCAGGCAGGCGACTTCCTTAGCCCTGCTGCTGGAGATGCCAGGGATTTGAGAACTGGGGAAGTGACCTTAGCTCATATGGGCAGAGCATGCATTTTGCATGTGAAAAGATCCCAGGTTCAATCAATAGTATCTCTAGACAAAAGAGTCAGGGAGCAGGTGAAAAGGAGGGAAGCATTCTTGACCTATGAGACTGGAGAGCCACTGCCAGTCAGAGATGGATCAATCTGATCTGGCATAAAAAAGCACTTTCCTGTGTTCCTAATTGTGTGTCTCTTATGTGTTTGTGGCCTCTTTGTAAAACTTGTATATGGGATTGTCATCCATAAGAAGGCCAAGTCCTTTTTCAGTGGATGGTCTAGCTTCTCAAAATTGCTTCTCTCCTCTTGGCTCCATGCTAAGATGGCTCTTGTGAGAGTTGTTTTGCTGCCTCCCCACAAATGGCAGCCTTTCAAAGCCAGACATATACTCACCACCCTCGGAAGAATTTTAGCTGGTCTAAGATTCCTGACAGGGTTAGTGCCAGGGTAAAGGAAAAGTCAGTAAGCACTGCAGGAGGGTGGTCTTTGTGTGTGTTTCTTGCTGAAAAGAGGAGGAGAGTTTCTGCTCTTAAGTTGTGAGGGTTAGCAGAGAGGGGTGTGGAGATTGATAACATGGCATGAAGGCAAGGAAATGCAATTATATATTCCTCCTCAGAGATTTAATTGGGGATGAGAATTAGAGTTAAGCCCAAAGCATTCATTGTCGTCATTCTGCTTTCTGGACTAGTCAAATTCCCATAGAATAATTGAAGCAGGAGGAGCTCATAATCCAGCTGTAAAATAAAGGAGGGGAAATTGCATGGCTTGGATTGCTTCCTCAAGGTTACAGAGTTTGGTCTTGCTGGACAGGGTTCTAGATGTGGAGAGCAGGAGGGAGGCTCCTGTCCTATAAATGCCATGCATTCATTGCTCGAACAGATATCCACTCCAATGGTCTAGTAAGTTACTGTTGTGCTGAATGTCTTCAGACTTGGTGGCTTCCCTTTCAGCGAGGTCTCTTGTTCTCTCCTAAGGCATTAGCGCAACCTCTGAAGACATCCCAAACAAGATTGAGGACCTCCGATCCGAGTGCAGCTCTGACTTTGGTGGGAAGGATTCAGTAACCAGCCCCGACATGGACGAAACAGCTCATGGTAAGGGGAAGCATGGGCCACCCCGCGGTGAGTTTCCTGGCAGCTTAAACGTCAGTCCTGAAACATTTGAATTTATCAGATGGAGGGTGATGACATTCCTGATAGGGATGACCCGCCTGCTGGAGGCAGTCAAGGTCTTCAAATTATTGTGTCCTATCCAGGGGAGAGGAGTCATCCTGTCTCTCCAGACTGGCCCTTCATGTTGCTAGGGATGGTTGGGTCTTCACGTCTCTCCCTGTGTATGGAGAGAAACACTTGTCTGAGTGCTTGTTTTTTGTGGATTTTTCTTTGTGTACAATCTCAGTCCTCTCTTTACTTTCTGCTCTTCCTTGGTTGTTTCTGAATGTGTCTTGCATGTTTCCCCCTGCCTGCCTCCCCCACCCTCCAGCACCATCACACCTTCCATTTTGTTTTCCATTATACGCACTCTCTGGTTTTCAACATTGCGGTATATCACCAGCTAAACATTGCAGTTCAGTGATATATCACAGTGTCTGAAACATGGAACTATGTAGGGTGGAGCGGGGGAGATTGGGCAGAGCAGCAGTCATGGAGATTAATAGGTGTGTGCTATGTGCACTGTGGATTCCTCCTCCCAGAGGCAGGCAAGCTCTTGTGTTTGGTGGGTGAACTCCTTCCACTCCTCCCTAGACAGAGGGAGAAGGAAGAATCAGAGAATCATAGAATTGTAGAGTTGGAAGGGACCCTGAGGATCATCTAGTCCAACCCCCCGCAATGCAGAATATGCAGCTATGCAGGAATATGCAGCTGCCCCATATGGGGATTGAACCTGCAACCTTGGTGTTATCAGCACCACACTTTAACCAACAGAACTATCCAGCCCACCTGTGATTTCTGCATCAGGTAGAGACACCATGGTTAGAGGGGGGCACCGAGGCTGGGAGTGAGAGTGTTCTGCCATTGGAGGGGAAAGGGAGCCGAAAGGGCAGGTAGGCAGCCAGCCAGCCACCAGAGGACTCAGTTATTCCGCCCCTTGTAGTTTTGAAGGCTGTGCTTTGCAATACATTGCCAACTCAATCATTCTGTAATGGTTCTCATGATGTGATCCACAAACCAGTGTTGGATGATGTATCGATACATCGCCCAGCCCTAAGACACACCTTTAGTTTTTCATTGTGTCCCCCCCACCTGCTGTTCTCGTAAAGGGGAGTGTGTAGTAGGGGATTTGACCCAGTTTTTTCAGGCACCTTGCAATTCTTAAATCACAACCTTCCTCTTCCTTTTAGAACAGATGGGGTAGACACCTTCTGTTGTTAATGAAACAGAAAGGAAACTAATTGTTAAAATGTCTAAAGGAACATGGAAAGGCTTGATTTATGGTGGACAAGAAAGATTAAAATGGACGATAGGAACATTTAATGCTTTTTTTGTTTCTTGCCATTAAAGAACTGGTGAAAGTCAAATGGCCATAATTAGCTGAGAGAAAGGAATTTGCTTTGAGATGGCATAGTCACAACTGTGATTTTAAAGGGAAAACATTAAGGTGGGTTGAGTGGCTGATAATACCCATAACATTAAAAGCTACCAGTATGGAAAAGGTAGTTTTGTTTCAAACAGTGACGGTTGGTATTGTTAAACAGTTGATGACTGAACTATTAAAAATGATCAGATCAATGTTTGATGAAGATGAAGAAAATGAGCCAGAGGATTATGAGGTGGAAAATGGAAAGAGGGAACACCCAGAGGTTACAATCGGTTGCAGTTCTGTATGGGAAGGAGTTTGGTGGGGGTTACCTTTGAGTTTCTGCCTAACGTCTTGCGGTTTGTATGAGTGTTTTCATTCCTAGTGCTGAGTATCTATGGGTTCTCCTTAACTTCTTGGGGGTTGAGGTGTTCTTCCTTTCTGACACTCAGTCTGAAGAGACAGGATGACTCCATCTGGAGTGGACACAAGACCCAGCAGGGGGAGTCATCCCTATTAGGAATGCTGTCCTCCCGCACCCAAATCTGTAAACTGAAATTGACTGTAAGGGGGAAAAAATTCTCCCTTGTGCCATGTGCTGAAGTAGAAACCCAAAATTATCTGATGAGTAATGGTGGCATTTCTCTGTTGAGGGTGGGTGATATCCACTCAGATTGTGGGCATGGGAGGAGAAGCCAAGTTTAAAGGAGGGGCATGTCACACTTACCCAGAGGTCTGAGCAGATTACTTGTAGGGAGGACTTCTTGAAGCCCAGCCAAGGGCTGCTGATAGACTATCCTTGCATTAGGGCTTTCAGAGCAGGAGCCAATGAAGGTGATTATTGAATCTGGCAAGATTATCCCCACCAGGAATGAGGAAAAGATTGCAACTTCTCCCAAGTACTTGAGAGATGAATGTCTGGTAACATTGATTTAAATTATCCATAAAGGTAAAGGTAAAGGTAAAGGACCCCTGACAGTTAAGTCCAGTCGCAAACAACTCTGGGGTTACGGCACTCATCTCGCTTTACTGGCCGAGGGAGCCGGTGTACAGCTTCTGGGTCGTGTGGCTAGCATGACTAAGCTGCTTCTGGTGAAACCAGAGCAGCACACAGAAACGCCGTTCACCTTCCCGCTGTAGCGGTACCTATTTATCTACTTGCAGCTTGACATGTTTCAAACTGCTAGGTTGGCAGGAGCTGGGACCAAGCAACGGGAGCTCACCCTGTTGCGGGGATTCGAACTGCCGACCTTCTGATCGGCAAGCCCTAGGCTCAGTGGTTTAGACCACATTGCCATCTGCTTCCCTTAAAGTATCCATAGTGAAAGGCAAATCCTTTTGTATGCCAGAGTGCTGTAGGCATACTGGAGTAGGTGACCACAGGTGATAGCTCTGGCTTCTTAGGGTCTATGCAGCCTGTTAGTGAAGATCCTCCTGGTACTTTCTTAAACCCACTTCTCCATCTTTTAGGAACCAGCCAGGGGACCTCTACCTTGTCTCATGCAGAATCCTTGCTTGCCATGTTCGATCCCTTGTCTTCCAACGAAGGTAATCCTGCAGCGTGTGGGCCACATGCATGTTAACAGTAGTGTTACTGCATTTGGTCCTCTTTCCATAGCTGCAAAACTTCCATGTGTTACCTGTAACTGTAAAGGGATGTGAAAGAACAGCGTTGGTGTAATGCTTTGCTTGGTCTGACGCTGGTGTTTTTTCCAGCAGTGGTGAGGCCCAAAGTGCACTATGCAAGACCTTCACACCCCCCGCCAGACCCCCCGATCCTGGAAGGGACCCTAGGAGGCAACGAGGCAAGGCTGCCCAATTTCAGCTCCCACACTGCTATAATCATTGACTCCGAAGTGTTCAGGCAGCGGTATTCCTATCCTGAGAGGCTCGTGCGGAGCAGGAGCTCTGATATAGTGTCATCTGCCCGGAGGCCAATGAGTGACCCTGGTTGGAACAGGCGAGCCGGCAACGAGGAGAGGGAGCTTTCTGTGCTTGGCTGTGTAGGGGGAACTCCTTTGCTGACAGCCTCTCAGTCTTCTTCCTCATCTCCTAGCAGAGATTCCTGCAGAGGAGAGGTAAGAGAAGACAAACTAAGCCTCTCAATGGCTTTCTCGAATCAAGGCTTTATAGCTAAGTAATGCATTAAGTTTTACCTCTATCTAAAAGCATTTTGTGTGTATTATGTGTTAGCTTGGTTGCTACCTCAATTTTTTCTTAAGCTAGAACTCCCTTGAACTGGAGCATAGTTAAACTATAAAACTTGCTTCCACAGGAGGCAGTGATGGCCCCCAATTTGAATGGCTTTAAAAGAGGATTAGCTTAATTCATGGAGGGCAAGGATATCAGTAGTTACTAGCCATGATGGCTATGTTTTGCCTCCACTGTCAGAGGCATGGTTTCTCTGAATACCAGTTCCTGGGAATCCCAGGTGGGCAAAGCGCTGTGGCACTCCTAGCCAGCTTGCTTCCCACAGGTACTGTGAGAACAAGATGCTGAACTAGTTGGGCCTTGGCCTGATCCCGCAGACTTAATTTTACAGCCCTTTGTTCTTAACTCCATACACATTACAGTTTGGTGGGAGTACTGAAAAGCCACAAAATGCGGTGTTGGCTGCAGAATTCCTAAGAATCCCCAGGGTTTCTTTCCCCTTTGAAGCAAGTTGAAGCAAGACCACTGTATTTTAATACTTTGTTGGAAGCGCCCAAGTGGCTGGGGAAACCCAGCCAGATGGGTGGGGTATAAATAATAAATTATTATTATTAAGCTTTTAGTCCTTTCAAAGGTTTAAGAAACAAGCTTCTAGCCCTTATGAATATATGTTTGAAAGTGTGTGACTAATATGGGATTTCAGTCTCTTGTATAGATCCTTTCTACTTTTCATAAGTAGCTCAAAGCAGAATGCACCAGGCAGAAACTGGTTGGCAATTTTTACACAAGTCACAGAATTCAGTGTTTTTGATTTTGTAGCATAGAGGCCACACTGCCCTGTCTTTTAATCTGCCAGTTTTCTCCTGTGGAAAGCTGATGAGGCTGTGAGAGGCTAAACAGTCAGTCACCCTTGACCTCAGAGGAGTGTCCCCCACACACCCATTAGCTTTTGTGGTTGAGCAAGTGGGGGGAAAGTCACCAACATCCCTTTTAGTCCTGCATAAAGGGGTAGAAGAGTCCACTATCCCCCCTCCCTCTCCTGCACACGGAGCAAAGAACTTGAACGCTCTAGTGCTCTCGGTTGATCAAAAGAGACAGGTTCTTCTTATCAGATATAGGTCCATGTGTCAACAGCCTCTTTGTATGATTCAAAAGGGATGGACTGTGATTCATGCAGAGGGCAGAGTTTCAGTGGTGGCTGCTACTGCTACATGACCCTCCATGGTTGAATTACAGTTCCCATTTTCTCTGGCCATTGGCCGTGCTGACTGCTGGGGCTGGTGGAAGTCCAGCGACATCTAGAGGGTCCCAGGTCCCCCCTGATTTCAAGTATTGAATTTAAATATGCTAATATTCAATTCATGTTTGAATTGATTACTTGGTTTTAAAACCCTATGGTTTTTTTTAAAAAAATCCTGCTTCTTACAAGCCTCCAACCAGAGTTTAACATTTATTAACATTCAACAGAATCGGATAAGGCAGAATGAAAACAGCAGGTTGGATCTAGTAGTTATTTCAACTTTTCTGCTGAAAAATCAACAGGAAAAGATACTCGTGACTCAAGTTCCATTGATTTCAACTAAAGTCTAGACCTGACTCAACACATCTCTCCCCAAACAGGTTGAGGATCGCAAAGACAGTGACGATGAGAAATCTGACCGGAACAAACCATGGTGGAGGAAACGTTTTGTTTCAGCTATGCCCAGAGGTGTGGTTTTATATCTGACTTCTTAGATAAGTTATGTGTATAATGCCTTATTTCCTTCTACTGTGCATTTGTCTAGTGGCAGTGCAGTTCCTGTGGCCACAACTCAGCTGTGGGTTGAAGACCAGTGTCCTAACATATCACCCTAAATAGGTAGCAAAAAATCAGTTTTGGTTATTTGTTCAAAAGCTGGACTTGGGCAAGTTTTCTTTTTAAAAAAAATTTAAAAAATGATTTTCAGCAGTAATACCATAAGCATATCATAAAAACAAGAACAACAAATGGAGTACATATTATTGACTTGCCGGTTACAAAAAGTAACAGTTAGGTACATGCATAGTAAGTTCACTGATTAGTTAGCTGGGTAAGGTAGTCCTCTCCATCAACATACCTGTGTTGTAGGGGGTTGCAATAACTGTGCTGACTTATTGATGTGAGCAATGTTTTTACTGCCTGGTTGACAGAGGCAAATAAGCAATTCCAAAAACCCAATGATATATCCAACTAAAGGAAGGGCATGCAAAACCTGAATATATTAAATGGCAATCATATTTTTCCACATGGCACAGGGAGATATACTTGTATATCTTAAACTGAACTATATGAAATAAAATCCCATACTCAGTCTTCCTGTCTCTTAGATACCTGTAAATTATGTGTTATTTCTTATGCACCTACTAAATTCTGAAGGTTTTTTATAACATAATGGATATAGTCATTTTTTAATCAATTTCTGTTGTGCTGTAGAGATACTGGCAGTTGGCTTTTGTTGAAAGTTCCTTTTAGTTAAAAAAACAAAGCAAAACAAAACAAAAAAACCTGATTGTCTTGCCCCGAAAACAGCTTGTTCGCTTCTTTGCCTGCTGATGCCTTGTTTCAGCTTCAAGTGTTGTTGCAGGAAGACTGGTGGGTTACTTTATATATATATATATATGTACCTGTTTACCTATCACCTGGACTTGTGGCAATATCACTCAAAACATGCATAGAAGAAGCTCTCTCTCATGGGATTTTTGCACCTGTGGTATTTTTATTTTTATTTTATTTATTGAATTTATATACTGTCCTATACCCGGTGGTCTCTGGGCAGTTCACAGAATTTCTCTCCCTCTCACTCCTCAGATCCTTTCTCTCATTACCATGGGGTGAAATGTTTTTTTGGGATAATCTTGTGCAAACTGAGCTGTCATAGAAGTTCCTATTTCAAATTAAAATTCTTCTGCCTTCCGCCTTCCCCACATCCCCAGCTCCCATCCCATTTAGGAAAAAAGAGAAGCAGGACAAGGACAAAGAGGACTTTGTGCCTGATAGATACAACGCTCTTCAAGGTTAGTAGTTGCTGCTGAATTTTATAACATGGTTGACTTTAAATAAAGAAGATCTCAAGGACTCTTAATCCTGGTCTAGGGATTCAGATAGGATTTACCTATACTTACTACATGAGAACACTCATCTTGGGGCCAGTCTGTAGAACTACATCACTTCAGGCTGTATATGTGTGTTTTTTTGTGTTTCTCTGCACACAGATGGCTTGTATTAAACCAGGGGTGTGGAACCTGTGGCTGTCCAGATAATGTTGAACTGCAACTCGCATCTATTTATTTAGTGTTTAGTGTTTATCCTCCTCACTTTTCAACCAAAAAGGCTCCCAGAGCAGCCAACATAGAATCAGCACAAGACAGTCCCTACCTGCAGGCTTATAATCTAAAAATAAACACCAGGGGAAACTAATAATCAGGACACCAAAGATAATATGAAGAGTTTTTAAGAGTGTGTTTGAACCAGAAAATGCCCTACTTTAGTTATTTCATTACTATAACCACATTGAATGTCTGTAGCGGGAGTCTAAACCTTCTTAACCAGTTTAAAAAAAAGTTATTTCCTTAAATCTGTGTTTTGGCATGTAAGATTCACCATCCCACCCCTGTCTTCTTCCTCAAACTTATACTGTATACAACACCAATGTCTCACATCAAATGTAACTGGTCTGTAGAAAAGACTTTACAACCTGAAAAAAGAGACAATGCACGTACTTTTGTAAACCAAGAAATTATTTTTTTAAAAAAACAAAAACCTGTGTTTCTGCAGCCATCTTTCCCACACATTTGATTTAATGGGGAAAGCAAAACGCCTGGGAGAAACCCCCAATGACACATCTCTGTATTCTCACATTCAGTCATGTCCGTAGTGGCTGCATGACTTCATCCACCACATGATGCCTTTGGTATTTAGACTGCCTACTCGAGACCAACCCCCACCCCCATGTTAATTCTTTGCTGCTTCTCCCCCCCCCCTTGACATTTTAGATGACTCTGGCCCTAGACTGAGCGCTCAGGCCCAGGCAGCGGAGGACATCCTGGACAAGTACAGGAATGCGATTAAGCGAACCAGCCCCAATGAGGGGGCTGTAGTGACCTATGACAATGCAGGTGAGAGTCTGTTCTTGCCCCCAGCCATCATGGTTTTCAAGCAATGAGGGGAAGAGTATGGCTGCTACCTGCTGCTAATGTGAGAAGGCTAACTTTTCTATGCTCATTTGGTGGGCTGGGTTTAGATGCCATTGGAGATGGCGAGAGCATCCATGACTCTGTGCGGGACGACAACTTGCAGAACATATCCGCAGATGACCTTCCGGATTCTGCCAGCCAAGCAGCCCAGCCACAGGATTCGGCTTTCTCTTACAGGTAGCTTGACTCTGTGTGTGTGTGTGTGTGTGTGTGTGTGAGAGAGAGAGAGAGAGAGAGAGAGAGAGAGAGATATGTTCACTGCAATAGACAAAGGGACTTTGGGAAGAAGGCTAGATCCAAACACTGTCTAGGATTCTGTGTTTGGCGGAAATCCTCTGCCTCTAGTGTGGTGGTAGTGTCGGACCAGGACTCAGAGAGACACCAGTTCGAATCCTCCAGCTCTGCAATGGCTGAGCCTTGGGGAACAGCGGCACACTCTCGCCCTAACATATCCCACAGGGTGGTTGTGAGGATAAAATGGGAAGGAGGGTGAATCACATACTCTACTCACAGCAAAAAGGTGAGGTATAAATGTAGGAATATTAATAAATCAGCCCAAACACTAAGGCTGTTCGATGTATAGGGGCAGACACGGGCATTTAGCTCTATGCTGAATAACATTCCCTGCTTTTGGAAGCTCTGCTTAGAAATTCTCCAGTGTGTAACTTGAGAGTGGAAACTGCCTACTGGTTTTCTATGCTCTTCCATGAAGGCAAGTGACTTGAATTGCTCTTTTGGGGGATGGGAGAGACCCTGTGGCATCTATCCTCCTCTCCTGGTGTGTTCTTCCAGGGGATTTGGGGTTAGACCTTACAAAAATGGATTCCAACAAATGGCTCACAATACAGTGGTACCTCTGGTTACGAACTTAATTCGTTCCGGAGGTCCGTTCTTAACCTGAAACCGTTCTTAACCTGAGGTACCACTTTAGCTAATGGGGCCTCCCGCTGTCGCCATGTGATTTCCGTTCTCATCCTGAGGTAAAGTTCTTAACCCAAGGTACTACTTCTGGGTTTGTGGAGTCTGTAACCCCCAAGGTACTACTTCCGGGTTAGCGGAGTCTGTAACCCGAAGTGTTTGTAACCCGAGGTACCACTGTATAAACTTCCTTCCTGTTGGAAAAGGGAGGAGAGCAGATTCGTATTAGACAATAGGCATTTCCATGTGAGGTGCTCAAGTCCACCACCGCCACTCTCTTTTTTTGGGAGCCACTGAAATAAAATATATTGATTTTGGTGTTTATATGAAAATTCAAGGCAGAAATGAATATTCTCTCTTTTTTTAAAAAAATAATTTTTTTTATTAATTTTCCAAACACATAATAAAAACAAACAATACACAAAACAAAAACATACAAACATATAAACATGTATAATTTCATAATCTTATTTTCATGCACCTTACTTCCCGGACTTCCCCATACCTCCCCTTTTCTGCATCCTTGTTTTACATTTCTTCAGCAACTCCTCCAATTAACCATTTATTTTAATTCACTTTCATTAAATTCCCCCCTTTTTTTTTTAAACTTATTGATTACAGCTGCAATTCTGTTTCCTAGTTCCTTAACATCTTAACACTCCTCAATTTTACAGCAATTTTTAAGATATATTTTAAATTTCTTCCAATCTTCTTCCACTGTCTCTTTCCCCTGGTCACGGATTCTGCCGGTCATCTCTGCCAGTCCCATATAGTCAATCACCTTCGTCTGCCATTCTTCCAGAGTGGGTAGTTCTTGTGTCTTCCAATACTTTGCCAGAAGAATTCTTGCTGCTGTAGTAGCATACATGAAAAACGTCCTATCCTTCCTTGACACCAATTGGCCAACCATGCCCAGGAGAAAAGCCTCAGGTTTCTTAGGAAAAGTCCTTTTAAGGACTTTCTTAATTTCATTATAGATCATTTCCCAAAAGGCTTTAATCTTCGGGCAGGTCCACCAAAGGTGATAAAAGGTACCTTCAGTCTCATTACATTTCCAGCATTTATTATTGGGCGAATGGTAAATTTTTGCAAGCTTGACTGGGGTCATGTACCACCTGTAGGTCATTTTCATTATGTTTTCTCTTAAGGCATTACATGCCATAAACTTAACACCGGTGGTCCATAACTGCTCCCAGTCAGCAAACATAATGTCATGACCAATATCTTGCGCCCATTTAATCATAGCTGATTTCACCGTTTCATCCTGTGTGTTCCATTTCAACAGCAAATTATACATTCTTGACAAGTTCTTAGTACTGGGTTCTAACAGTTCTGTTTCTAATTTTGACCTCTCCATCTGGAAGCCTATTTTCCTGTCCTGTTTAAATACCTCGTTTATCTGAAGATAATGCAGCCAGTCTCTTACTTTGGACTTTAATTTCTCATAACTCTGTAATTTAACTTTTTCGCCATCTTGTTCTAAAATTTCACAATATTTTGGCCATTTAGACTCCATATTAAGTTTTTTCACCTCTTTGGCTTCCATTGGTGACAACCACCTGGGAGTTTTACTTTCCAATAAATCTTTATACCGCATCCAAACATTGTATAATGCTTTCCTAACAATATGGTTTTTGAAACCTTTATGCAATTTTACCTTGTCATACCATATATATAGAAATGAATATTTTCTCTCTGCCCCTTCCTCCCAGAGATGCAAAGAAGAAACTGCGGCTTGCTCTCTGTTCAGCAGATTCTGTGGCCTTCCCTATGTTGTCCCACTCAACGCGGAACGGCCTTCCGGATCATACAGACCCTGAAGGTAAAAGACCTCTGTTGACTTTCAGACTTCTAGTATAGCTACAACCACACTTAAAGCAAGAGGCACACTTGACACATGACACCACTTAGAAATGTATAAATTTGCTGGAAATTTTGAAGCAGGGACAGGGTGGTGTTGTCCCCATCCCCCCCGGAGGAAAAGTGGAAAATTTGAGAAATTTTATTCTGTTTATTGGATACCTTACCCACCCTTCATCATAAAGTTATACAATGCTTAGGGCTATATTTTAGTGTTAGTTAATCTCTTTACTGTGGTCAATGAACCAGTGTTCTCTAATGCTAGTCCTACTCAGAGTAGACTCATTGAAACAAAGGGACATAACTTTTTTAAAAACAAAATTTTAATGGTTCTTAAATGAATACAGATACAATAACTATTAAACATTTATCTAGCAGTAAGGACATAACTAACAAAAATCCTTTGACTTCAGCGTGTCCTCTCTGAGCAGGACTAACATTGGATATATAACTCTTATCAAAGTCAAACTTATTTTACTTTTTTGACACACAGTTTGTCACTTAGAACAGGGGTTGGTAACATGAGTTTTCCATAGTGGGCCTTTAGGTATTACTGAACCAGAAGTCCCATCAGCAACCATGACCAAGTCACCTGCTGGTAACTAGGCAGAGCATTCTTCTCCAACCTGGTGCCCCTCAGAAATTTTGGACTACAACTGCCATCAGCCCCAGCAAGCATAATCAGTTGGGGATAATGGGAGTTTTAATCCAGCAACAGGTTGGGGAAGGCTGATATAGCGTGTGTGTGTTAGTGTGAAACGTAGACTAGGAAGAGTATGAGAGAAAGCAAAGTGTTGCCAAATATAGTCTATCTCTTGTGCCCCGGAAGATGGCAGGGAGGACAGCAGGGGGTGATCCCACAGGGCCACAACTCGGGGGGGGGGGTATTACCACAATTCTCCTTTCCTCACTCGGTTTCCGCTCCCCCTTTCCACCATCTTGAACAGACAATGAAATTGTATGCTTCCTAAAAGTCCAGCTAGCCGAAGCCATCAACCTTCAGGACAAGAACCTGATGGCTCAGATCCAGGAGACCATGCGTTGTGTTGGCCGCTTTGACAACAGGACCTGCCGCAAGCTGCTGGCCTCAATTGCTGAGGATTACAGGTAAATCCCTTACCTTCCATAAGAACACAGGAAGAACCCTGCTGGATCAGGCCCATCTAATACAGCAGTGGCCAGTCAGATGCCCCCAGGAAGTCAACAAGGGCAGCATTTTGTCTGCATCTCACTCATATAAATTTGGGAGTAGAATTATGCTGTCACTTCTCATGGGGCAGGTGCTTTGAAGCCACCCTAAACGGCTTGGAGCACCTCCCCCAAACTTGCACTTTCCAGATGTCATTGAGTTGTACAACCCCTTTCTTCCCACCCACCTCCAAATCCCAGGAAAAGGGCTCCCTATATTGCCTACCTGACACAGTGCCGCCAGGGTCTACAGACCACCCAGGCCCATCTGGAAAGGCTGTTGCAGAGAGTCCTGCGAGACAAAGAAGTGGCAAACCGATACTTCACCACGGTGTGCGTGCGGCTGTTGCTGGAGAGCAAAGAGTCAAAGATAAGGGCGTTCATTCAAGGTAAGCCACTCCCAGCATTGTGCACAAGAGATGAAGTGGGATGTATGCAGTGTAGGGCCAGGCACACTTTGGTTCAAAGATTTACTGGGTGACGTTGGGCCATTGGCTGTACTCTAGTAAATGGTCCAAGATGTATTAAGATAAAAGGGGTGAGGGGAAGACTCATAATTGGAGTTTTAGTCTGCCATTGGGGAAACCTTGGCTGCAGTTGGTTGAGCTGCTGTGATCTCACAGAAGGGGCTTCTAGTCCCACTCTGTGACATCAAGCCACTTGACGTTCTAAGGTAGGCAGAGAAGGCAGGAACCAGTCATGGAATAGGAAGCAGCAGGCCCATGTGGTATGTATTGCTGGTCTTGGTTCTTCTGCAGATCCAGTTAAACATTTCTCCCTTGGAAGTGCTCTTGGCCAGCTCTCCTTTGCAATGTGTGCAGGTTCTTTGCAAAGGGAATAGTGATGCACATGCACTGCCAAGTTCAGATGTCATGGCTTTCCTGGAGAACACATGGGGATTGTAATTTTGGAGCAGCTTCTAACAATTCCTACGTTGTGTGTGAGGAGAGAGGGTGTGCTTCTTCCTCCCCGGCCCTGTGATTTCCTCCCTTTTGCTTTGTTGCCAAAGATTTCCAGAAGCTGACTGCAGCAGATGATAAAACTGCCCAGGTTGAGGACTTCCTCCAGTTTCTCTACGGTGTAATGGCCCAGGATGTCATCTGGCAGAACGCCAGCGAGGAGCAGCTCCAGGATGCCCAGCTGGCAATTGAGCGCAGCGTCATGAACCGCATCTTCAAACTGGCCTTCTACCCTAACCAGGATGGAGACATCCTGCGTGACCAGTGAGTGGGACGTGGCTGCTTTTCTTCAGGCTTGAGCAATAATGGCAGCAGAGGGCAAGCTACAGCCACCTTTCCTTGTGGGCTTCCTCTACTTCTGTGCAGGCCCAAGTTTGCTTCTGGTTGTAGCTTTTTCAAATACCCTAATTCTGTTCCCTTCTGGTGCATTGCTTCCTTTGCAAGAAATGAGTGTTCAGTTTGCACACTTGTTCTGAACTTGGGGGTTTTGTTAGGGCTTTCATTTGCCAGCCTGAGGGCCACATTTAGTCTGGGAAACCTTTCCGAGGCTGCATGCAAGTGGTGGGTGGAGCAAGTGGGCAGAACAATAGGTGTAGATCTTACCTTTGTACAATAGACTCTTTTTTACTTACCCATTTTAGAGGCATTATCAGAGTTCAAGGACACATTTCAAGGACACAAAACCACTCAGGGGGTGAGTGGAGGGTGTGGCTTGGGAAGAGTTCCAAGGGGCAGATTGAGAGGCCTGAAGGGTTGCACTGGGCCCTCAAGCCTGAGGTTCCCCACCCCTTCCGTATTGGGCCCAATCTACCTCTCCCTCCCCCCCACACCCCTGTATATATAGCCTGACCTTAGAGGCAACAAGAGAGAAAATGAGGGCTTGAGATTCTGGAAAAGTGGCAGCCTTGCCAATGCTTGGTCTCTGCTGTGCCAAAATAAGACAGGATAAACATGGATATTCTGATCTGTCTCTGAAGCTAGCTGATTGGTTTTTTAATTGCAAGTTCTTGCGTCCTTCTTCAGTAACCTCAAAATGTTACTTTCACTGAGGCATTATATTTAAATACAATTAGTCGCTTAAGCCATACAAGTTATTGGGTTGACAGCCCAGACTCCTTTGTAGGACAGATTTTTGTAAGGGGTGCTGCTGCAAGGAACTGAAGGTTGCGTAAGGAAGCCCCCTGCTACCTAACGGTGCTCGCTATGCAGAATCCCAGATTGTGCCATCTATATTACTTAAATTGTTTGGTTCTCCCCCCTCCCCCCTTTGTTTCTAGGCTTCTTTACGATCACATACAGAGGTTAGCTAAAGTGGTGACTGCGAACCATAAAGCACTCCAGATTCCTGAGGTAAGTCCTTGGTGGTGCATGGCACCTGAGAGTAAGACTTTGTCTGAACTGTACCACTTGTGACTGAAGATGGCAGTTCATGATGTGGAGTGTCACTGTAGTATGGGGGTGGGGGGTTGAATTTTGTGCACACACACACACACACACACACACACAGCCAGTTTGGATATGCTGGAGTTGGGAGAAGGAAGAACTCTTCTCCCTAAACATTCAGATTGATTGTGTGGAAGTGATTGTCCTGTATGGTTGAAAGTTTGGCATGTGGTTGTAGCTCAATGGCAGAGCATCTGCTTTGCATTCAGAAGGTCCCAGGTTCAATCCTTAGCATCTCCAGGAAGGGCTGAGAGAGACTTCTTGTCTGAAGCACTGGAGAGCCACTGCTGCCAGTCAGTGTAGACAGTACTAAGCTAGAGGCTGTGCTGTGTGCTTGTGAGCTTTAATGCCATTCCCTTTCTGGGCTTGGGGATCAGATTAGGCTGAAAAGCACCCATTAACTCAGTCTTAGTTCTGACTGAATTGGTAAGTACATGAAAGGGTTTGCATCACTTAATATTTGCTGGTACAAGTTTTTCTCCTCACCACAGTGAGGTCTGGAAGTAGTAGTAACCGTCTTGTGGCTCTAGCTTTTCTAAGTGCATCCAGTCCTTTTAGGCTCAATGGATAAGTAGTCCCAACAAGTCCATATGTCCCATTCTTATCTGGCAGCATGTGGAAGCTTCCTGCCTTTTGTGTGGTGGTTCCTTACAAATCTTCATTGTTTTGTACCAAAAAACTCAAAAGATCAGTGGTTAGAATTAGTGCAGTTTTGAAAGTTTGTCTGCTATCTTGATTCAAAACGGGGCTCTGGTTGTTTCCAACCGTGGGTGAACACTTGCTCCTGGATCTCAGGAATGATCACGCAGAATTTGTTTACGATCCAAATACAAAGCAAACAGGAAAGTTTTCAAAATGCGTAGCAGGTGTTAGTTATAATATCGCATAACATTTGCATAGAGGTCTCAAGCATTTGGAGCACATCACACGCAGGTTCTAGTTGTAATATTTCCAGCAACCCAGTAAGATAAGTCAGCGTTAGTATTTCCCAAATTGCAGACTGAGGCTCCAAGGGTGAGCGAGTGTGAAAAGTTGAACTGGGGACCTTCTGATTCATAGTTTGGCCTTTTAACCGTTACGCTACACCAATCACGGGTATTTTAATAAGCTTGCATGTTTACCATGTGCAGTATATGTACACATTGCTGGATGCAAGGGGTTAATCGTGTTTGTATGTAGACCCTCCCTTTTCTAAACACTGCACTGTATTGGGCTAGAAGCAAGTCTTCTCCTTTCCTTGCAGGTCTACCTCCGCGAAGCACCATGGCCATCAGCACAGTCTGAGATCCGCACCATCAGCGCCTACAAGACCCCGCGCGACAAGCTGCAGTGTGTCTTGCGGATGTGCTCCACCATCATGAACCTGCTGAGCCTGGCAAACGAAGATTCTGTTCCTGGAGCAGACGACTTTGTCCCTGTTCTCGTCTTTGTTCTCATAAAGGTAAGGGTGATGTCCCCTTGGGCTTCTCTTGCTCATGAAACAACTCAGACTGCAGACCGCTTTTTAGTTTTTCCCTACATGAAACATTCTCTGCAGGTGTCGTAATTTTTTTAAAGTGAACCAGCCTGGTTCCCGCCTGCTCTGCTCTTTGTTTGCACTGGGAGTAGAGACATGGCTGAGTAACACAGTCCATCTTCCTGCCCCTGTCTCCCATCTGCCATTTTGCTGCACCTGTGGGCTAGGCTTCAAGCCTGTGACAAAAAGGGACATTTGTTCTCCCAACTGCAAGGTTCAGGTCTGTGCCCAAGAGAGATGGCTTTCCACACCCAAGAACTATGCAAAGGTCATGGGGGCTATTGGGCGCCCCTTAGAAGAAAATATCCAGTAGGTATGGGGCAGGATATACTGTTTTAGGCTAGTCTCCAGTCCAGTCCAGATGGCTATAATAATAGAATTATATTTTTGGAAGGGACTCTCAAGGGTTATGTAGTCCAACCCTCTGCAATCCAGGAATCTCAACTTTTAAAGATACCCCCCAAAAACTTACAATTCCCAGCACAAACTACTGTTCCTATTATTCTTGCTTGTGGGGGATGCTTTACATCAGGCATCCCCAAACTCGGCCCTCCAGCTGTTTCTGGGACTACAACTTCCATCATCCCTAGCTAACAGGACCAATGGGCAGGGATGATGGGAATTGTAGTCCTAAAACAGCTGGAGGGCCGAGTTTGGGGAGCCTGCTTTACATGAATGCTGTGCCTTACCTGCTTCTGGCTGGTTCAACTGCTGTGGCAGCTATTATCCAGTGGCTGGACCAGGCCTTGGGAGGGGGGTGCGTCATTGGTGAAAAGAGTCTCCAACAATCACAGTGCCTCCACCTGCTGCTTCACTTAATCCTGCCTTGGCAGGGGCCGCAAGGTGGCATGTATGGCTTAAGGTCCTTTGACTTCTTCCACACCAGAGGTGTGACTCCTCTGTACCCTTTTCTCATGAGAGGGTTCAATTAGGGGGTGTTCAGTGTCTTTCTCTGGAAGGCCCTGCCCCTCCTGTGCTGCGTGGTGTGTGGTCCATCTCCATCCTTTGGCTCTGAGCTAAACCCCGACAAACCATCTCTCTTTCTAAGAGGAAGAAAGAATGGGGCTCAGAGGGGTGGTCATCAGCCCTTTCAGTGCCCCTTCTTTCCCCCTTGGCCAACATTATCTTCTGGGAGAGAGGGACACAGTTCCTCCCTCCCTCCCAGCATATCCTACCATACATAATTATTTTTTTGAGTGGTGAAGAAGAAATGAGATTATAATCTAGGTTGCAAGCAGAATAAAATTGGAGGTGGAGGAGGGAGAGAATTGGGGTGGGGAGTCTTCCTACATTTTGAGGGGGAGGGTGTACCCTAGCTACTGCCTCCCCCTTGTAGTAGGGTGGTTGGAAGGGGGCTAAATGCCTCAGCCCCTTAAGGTATCTTTGTTCATGGGGACCCCACCCCGATCCTTCTGACCACCTGCACTTTGCTGCTGCTGCCCCCAAGGAACCAAGCGCCACCATCTTCCTCCTCGGAAGGCAGGTGCCTTCCCCATTAAAGGTAAAGGTAAAGGTACCCCTGCCCATATGGGTCAGTCATGACCGACTCTGGGGTTGCGCGCCCATCTCGCTTAAGAGGCCAGGGGCCAGCACTGTCCAAAGACACGTGGCCAGCGTGATGAAGCTGCTCTGGCGAGCCTGCACCAGCGCAGCACACGGAAATGCCGTTTACCTTCCCGCTATAAAGCGGTACCTATTTATCTACTTGCACTTAACGGTGCTTTTGAACTGCTAGGTGGGCAGGAGCTGGGACCGAAAGACGGGAGCTCACCCCGCCGCGGGGATTCGAACTGCCAACCATACGATTGGCAAGTCCTGGGCGCTGAGGTTTTACCCACAGTGCCACCCGCGTCCCTGCCTTCCCCATTACTTCTTCAGATTGCGGAGTTCAGAGTTCAGTTGTATTTCTAAATGGTATTTTTGCCTGCTTTCCAAGCTGTTATAACAGGGGCTAGCATGGTACCCTCAATATGTTGTTGGACTTGAGCTCCCATCATATATGATGATGATTAACTGCTTGATGCCAAAATAGGCTTCTAAGCAGCTTACAAGTATAAAAACCCATTGCACGAGTGTTAAAATATACTCTTACTTAAAATATGCAACAAAACAATACCATTAGAACAACACAGTAATTAAAACAGGAGTCTCAGGTTGAGACAGCAAAGGAATTGCCTGTGTAAACAGGTGTGCCTTCAAAAGCAGACGGGATGCCCATGCAGATGGGGACCTCTCATATTTCAGCAGGGTGGGCATTCCATAACATAGGCACCATGGTGGAAAAAAAATTATGCTGGCTAGGGCTGATAGGAGTTGGAGTCCAATGATCTCTGGAGACAACAGGCCTGCCAACCGTGACATACATCTCCTCCTCTCTGCAGGCCAATCCGCCCTGCTTGTTGTCCACTGTCCAGTACATCAGCAGTTTCTACGCCAACTGTTTAACTGGAGAAGAATCCTACTGGTGGATGCAGTTCACAGCGGCAGTTGAGTTCATTAAAACGATAGACGAGCGCAAGTAAACCCAACCCAGCCAGCATCTCTGCTGAGAACCAAATGGCTCACAGAGGAGGACCTTTATGAATGTATGACGCCTGGTCTCTGCCCATCAGGCTACAGGAAAACAAAGAGAGAAGACCTCCATGTGTAAATACTGTAAAGGAGTTCAAAGCATTTTCAAACAAACCTTTACTAATTGGACTAATTCCAGCAGGGTGGTTTGAGGTATTATTTTGGTTGTGTGTGTTTCCTTTTCTTTTTGAATCCTCTTTCCCATAGAAACTAGCACTGTGTCAAATCATAATAAAGATAAAAGGGACCACTTGTTAAAGTATCCTGGGATCTCCAGGCATTTTTTCTGCTGCCACAAGCTCCATGTCAAAAAAATTTTTTCCTTAACAGTTTAGTTAGAACTTTTTAAAAACTTGGTGAGTGGAGAGAATAAAGGTAAGCACTTTCTAATGATTTTTATTTACAAGAATTCATTTGTCTTGTTGAGACGGAATGCACCAGTCACAGAGGAGAGTTTGCAGCAAGTGAAGGGGTCAAACTTGAATCATGAAAGAGCAATGTATTTATTAAAATGTAAATGCTCACCAAATGGTATACTAAAACTGGAAGATATTCATATGGCCTTTATCATAATTAGCACATTCTTTCTAATTTTGGACAGGGCATTAGAGTTATTCATCTGTTGCACAAAAGAGGTGATGTTTAAGGGTTTATAGGGGGAAGCGGGATTGCTTGAAGAGAATTCAAAATATAAGCGAAAGAAACATCAATAACCTTACGTTTGTTTTGTTTTTGTTTTCCTTCGGAAATACTGTGTATACTGTACAAACCCGAAATGGAACTTTCCCCCTACGAAACCAGAATCTGTAATATATATTTTGATTATTCGTATTAAAAGCATACATCAAGCATTTGGGTGAAAATCTTTGTGTGTCTTTTGGCTTGTCATTCTCTTTGCTGTTTGTAGTTTAAACTGGTTGTATCTAGGATAACACTTCTCTTTCTTTTTTCAATAAGAAAAACAAATATATAGGGGTTTATTATACAAATTATGGGGCTGCTTTTGTGTGTGTGTAAAAGCAGTTGGTTGAGGACTAGGCATAATCTCTGGCTATCTTGGACATGTGGGGTGGGGGGAAGCAGAGAAGAAAATGGGGAATTGGGGTTGGGGGGAGGTGAAATGGAGTATCCAGGATGAAGGCCAGGCTGGCTCGCTGGCTTCCTGTACAGCAGGACTCCACAGATCAATTCTTACTTATATAGTGCTATCTTTCAGGGCATGTCCCCGTCCCAAGGAGCTTACAATTTAAACATAGATACAAAGGGATATAAGAGAGGAAGTGTTCCTAATGAGAGAGAAAAATAAGTAACTCTGTGTGTGTTTTGCTTGTACATTACATAATTATAAATGCACTATGATAACTCCCCCTTCCCCAGTGTAACCTTAGCCTGTGGGGAGCCTGTGATTTTCCAGATGTTAGGACTCCCATCGGCCCCAGGCAAGGATGGCCAAGGATGGATCAACCAAGGATGATGGGAGTCGAGTCTAGCAACAGCTGGAGGGTCACAAGTGAACATGCAAACAGGCCCCAGAGTTTACAGCTGTGTTTTCTTTGACATAGCAAGCTCAGCTCGGACCCTGCCTTTGCCACTCTCATCACAACACTTCTGCCTGTGGGTTTGATCAAACTTGTTGCTGCACATGTTGGGGGAAGGGGCTAAAGAGTTGTTTTCCTCTTGAGTTTTACAAGTTAAAATGTGATGGATTGTACAATCAAGGGGTTGTCTCTCAGTGGTAGAGCATCTATTTTGCACGCAGAAGCTCCCAGGTTCAAACCCCAATGGCATCCAAGTAGGGCTGGAGAGACTCCTGTCTCCAAAACAGTATGGTTGCTTCCAGTCAGTGTAGGCAATACTGAGCTAGATGGACCGAAGGGGTTCTCAGTTTCATGTATACTGAGTAGCAGCGCCTCTCCAGGCTTTCAAGCAGAGGTCTTTGTCATTATCTGATTCCCCCTTTCTCTTTTTGGATAGTATAGGAGAGGTTTGACGAACCTGCTGCTCTTCCAATGCTGTTTGACTCCAACTCCCATCATCCCTGATCCTTAGCCATACCAATTGGGACTGATGGGAGTTGGCATCTAACAGTAGGAGGACCAAGAGTTTCCCACTTTACTGCACCCAGAGGAAGAGAGCAGGGTTGCTTTGTGTGTGGTGGCCCAATTGCCACCCATAGCTTGTTTTCTGGGAACAAAATTCTTAACAGGTCCTTCAACTCTTGTGGGTAAATGTATGTTGGGTTAGTTTCTGGTGAGCCACTGTTTCGTTTCCGCTTTAAAACCAGAACCATGAACGATGAAGGCTTAAAAGACAGAAGCATTTATGTCTTTTTCAATCGGCACATTTCACTTCTGTTTCTGAGACTGCCAGCCATTTAGCCAGCTGCTCTATTTCACGTTCCTGAATGGGATATTCAACATCCTCATACATAGCTTGAAAATAGGAGACCCAGTGGTCAGGTGGAATTTGTGTGGATAGAAGGGAAACAGCCTTGGGGGAGCCGGAGGTAACCAATTTCCAAAATAGTGACTGATTTTTCCCCTTTGCCGCACTAATTAGGTTCGACCAGCATTTTCTGCTGTAGGCATATTTTTGGTGGGTTATTAGGGCTTTGTATTCTTTTATTAGAGCGCGGACAGAAAGATAGGCACATTTGAATTTGATCCAACCTAGTTTTTGGAATGGTGACTGCAACTGTTGCTCAGAAAGCAAAATGTTTGGTGCATTCCACAAGAGCCCTCAGGGAGGCTGTGCAGTTAAATCACTGGTGTCTGGCACAGAATTAACATATCAAAAACCTTTACAAATAAAAAAATCAAGTTTCTAGCCCTTACAATGGAAAAATAAAGAGAGCTTGCTCTCACCAAATATTTGAAGATGAGTTTGTATGCCTGCTTAAGTTGTCATCCTTGTCAGCGGCCTGCTTTATGAGTGGTACCACGCAGAGGAGAATCCAACAGCAGAGTCAGAATCTGTGTGTTTGTCTGCCATGGTACTGGTAAGAAAATGTTGCAGCGTATCCTCAATATCTGTTTCTGTTCAGCCAGGCACTTCTCTTTCCAGCATGCCATTCTGTTCCATAGGCTCTTGTTTACTACTTTTCTTTTCCAGCTGTCACTCAACATTCTATTGCTACTGAGCATGCTCAGTTCTTATTGGGTTGCTTTGTTTGGGGGGTGTCCTTTTTATTTTAAGGAACTACAGTGGTACCTCCAGATAAGAACTTAATTCGTTCTGGAGGTCCGTTCTTAACCTGAAACTGTTCTTAACCTGTTCTTAACTTTAGCTAATGGGGCCTCCCACTGCTGCCATGCCGCCGCCGCACAATTTCTGTTCTCATCCTGAAGCAAAGTTCTTAACCCAAGGTACTATTTCTGGGTTAGTGGAGTCTGTAACCTGAAGCGTCTGTAACCCGAGGTACCACTGTATTTGTCTTCTACAGACCTTGCAGATACCTCACTTTTCTTTTCCTCAATGGCTCTGTTTGGTTATTAGAATATTACATCTGTATAAAATGTCACATTTCTGTCCTTAAGGCATTGGAAGTGAGCAATACTTAACTTCTTTGCACAAGAGCCAGATTCACCCTTGGCCAGAAGTGGGTGAGAGTAGTCTCACACCCACACCCTTGCAATGCATACAGTTTCCCCTCCTCAATTCCTGCAGATCAGCTTAGGAAAGCAGCTGCCTCTTGGGGGATTTCCCCCTTCTCCAGTCACTTGCAGACTCGATATTTCCAGCTGAGATTCAATTGCATACTGGCACTGCAAATTCCAGATTGTGCAAGAAGTCTTGCATGACCCACTTTTCATTCTGAACAAAGATTTTACTTTCTGCAATAAGGAAGAAGTGATTGGAAAATACATAATATAATAAAATTGTCCAGTAGCACCTTAGAGACCAACTAAGTCTCTAAGGTGCTACTGGACATTTTTTTTAAATATTCCGACTCCGTCAAACCAACACAGCTGCCTACCTGATTGGAAAATGCATAGTAAAGTGTGGGACCCTTGCTTTGATTCAGCATCATCTAACCTCCCCACAGTCAAATCAGACTAAATGCTCATTTAAATGGCTAATGTTATTTAATTTACCTGCAAACACTTGACAAGCATATACAGTAATCTGGCGGCACCCTCCCTCTCTTGGGGTTGTATCAGTGATGTTCCCTGAACACTCTCACACACCTCTTCCTCCCCTCTCTACAACACACATACCTCAGCTGCTGACACTGCTGTAGGACACTTTCCATGATCTCAGGGCTCCAGCATTATTGAAACTTAAACTGGACTACAAGAGAAAAGGGAGGTGTTTTTCTGAAAGCCCCATCCTTGGCAAAGACCTGGGCATATTACCTGTGCATGCCTTGAGTGACATCTAGTGGCCAAGTTTCTGTACTACCCTAGGGCTTCCCATTTAGTTATGATGGCTTGACCTCTGTGACCTTACGCGCTGTTAAGAGCATAATAGAATCTGCTGGATTAGGCCAATGGCCCATCTAGTCCAGCATCCTGTTCTCACAGGGGCCAGCCAGAGTCCCTAACGGGAAGCCCACAAGCTGGAACCAAGCAAATGAGCATCTCACTTCCTGCAAATAGTAGTCAGAAGCATAGTGGAGGCAGAGGATAGCCATTGTGGCTAGTAGCCATTTAAAGTGTTATCCTCCATGAATTTGTCCAACCTGCTTTTAAGGCCTTCCAAATTGGTGGCTGTTCCTGCTGATGTCAGTTACTTATACGTCACTGCTTCCTGCGGGTCTGAGTTTCATAATTTACCGTATTTTTCGCTCTATAACACGCACCCAATCATAACACGCATGTAGTTTTTAGAGGAGGAAAATCCGTAGGCATGCCACCCATAGGCATTTCCTCCATAACACGCACAGACATTTCCCCTTACTTTCTAGGAGGAAAAAAGTGAGTGTTATGGTGCAAAAAATACGGTAATTGTGCCCTGCTTGAATAAGTCTGAATCTTTCAACACTGGATGTTCCTGAGTGTTCCTCCTGAGAGGGAGGAATAAAATTTTATCCTATTCACTTTCTCCATGTTATGCATCATTGTATGAACTTCTATCATGTCCCCTCTTTCTTGTCTTTCTTTTCTTTTCTTTGCTAAACTAAAAAGTCACCAATTCTGCAACTTTTCCTCCTAGGAGAGCCACTCTCCACCCCCCACCCCCGATCATTTTGGTTTTCCTTTTCTGAACCTTTCCCAACTCTGCAAGATCCTTTTGGAGTGAGGCAGGCAGAATACACAGTATTCCAAATGCAGTTTTGCAGTTGTATACAGTGGTACCTTGGGTTAAGAACTTAATTCGTTCTTGAGGTCCGTTCTTAACCTGAAACTGTTCTTAACCTGAGGTACCACTTTAGCTAATGGGGCCTCCTGCTGCCGCTGCGCCTCCACCACGCGATTTCTGTTCTCATCCTGGAGCAAAGTTCTTAACCCATGGTACTATTTCTGGGTTAGCGGAGTCTGTAACCTGAAGTGTCTGTAACCCGAGGTACCACTGTGTATCAACATTATGATATTGGCAGCTATATCTTCAAGTCCTCTTCTAATGGTGTCCAAACGGCCTCGGCCCAGTATACCTGAAGGAGCGTCTCCATCCCCATCGTTCTGATCGGACACTGAGGTCCAGCGCCAAGGGCCTTCTGGCGGTTCCCTCATTGCGAGAAGGAAAGCTACAGGGAACCAGGCAGAGGGCCTTCTCGGTAGTGGCGCCCGCCCTGTGGAACGCCCTCCCATCAGATGTCAAAGCGATAAACAACTACCTGACATTCAGAAGACATCTTAAGGCATCCCTGTTCAGGGAAGTTTTTAATGTGTGATATTTTAGTGTATTTTTGGT